GTATGGTTCAACGGCCCCAAAGACTCTAAAAGAAAAATTCGTGCCTGGATATTCATTCATTCGACCATGAACCAGAATGCACCCTTGTTTCGACGCCACATCGAGAAACGGGGCCGTTCAAAGGCAAGCAGGTTGCAAATCACATTCATGTCAGCTCGAGCGCTGGTGGAGTTGCGCCTTGTCATGGGCCGCAAACGCTTTGGCGAGTAAATTTGCGACAATTGTCCTGGTTTGAGCGTCGACCCCCATAATCTTCATCTCACGCGAGTACGCAGGCACCGAACAATCGCCGCGGTTTACGAGGTTCAGGCCCAAGGTTGCATACACAAGAACGTGAGGGTCCGTGAGCTTGAGATACATTTTCTCGGCCTTGACCGACACCGTGGGGAAGCACGTGCGAAACGCCTTCTTTTTGACCTATGGGTTGCAAGCGTATGAGCCAAAATATGTAGTCGTAGCTACGTTGCTGTCCTGCCTCGGGCGCTATCGCTGAGTCGGGCGACGGCCCGTGGTGCACATGCCGAGTTGAGGCTTCTGAAGGCGACATACGAATAAGGTACGACCTCTCCTATACACAATAGCTGACATACTACGTGTCAACGTCGGATTTGCACCTCGGTGGCGGACTGTGTTGAGACGGACGAAGGTTGCAACCAGCCCTGTGCAGATAGGGAATCGATAATGCGCTTCACGTCCTCGTCAGAGGCGCAGAGATGCTCGAGCCACGCATGCAGATCAACGTTCTTGACGAGTGGGCCTGTATCCTCGGATAGGAGCCCCGTGTGGACCAGTGCAAGCACGAACTCCTCTTCGTTCACCCAGCAAGGCTCCAGCATGGCGCTCGGAAACGTCGAATGTACGGGACCCGTACATCGATTTCAAGTCGCACGTACGTACAGTACGTATGTATTGTGCCGATGCCTGTGGATCTTTAGACGTCGACATGGCGTGCGCTGGTGACGAAGAAGTTCGGGCACTGGCGTCATCGATCTTGGCCAGTTTCGACCATGCCGCGGGTCGTGGATGGCTGTCGGAAGAGAGCTTGGCTCACCACATCATAGCAGTCATGCACAGGTGCGTATGCAACGGACGAGTGCGCAATTGATGGCGTGCACTAGCAAACAGGGCGCACGCGCAGTACTTCCGGTAGCGCATGAACCCGCGGCAGTGCCGGAATCACTGGTGAAAACAGTATGCCATGAATCAAGTTTGGCTCACTTTCAAGTACGTCCGTTCTCCATTAATTTCGACTGTGCAACACGTTCGCATATCACAGGCGGCGAGGGTTGAGCGGGAAGCACATTTTCGACTTCATTTGGCCAGTGCAAGTGAGCGAACGTCGTATTGTCCCTCGAGAGGCTCCTCTTACGAAATTTCATCCGATATTTCCCGAGACGACGATTGCACAAGCGATGAAGACGTCGCGCCCTCCCTGGCAAGTCCATCATTAGCAACAACAGGAACGCAAACCACCGAAAACGTGAGTCACCGGGACGTACAAGTACAAGTCGACTTGAAACCATCGACACCCGAGCCGCATTCACCGCAATATTTAATGGCGGACGTCCTGCTTGGGAATCACGAGCTTTGCGTCCTTTCAGGTACGCAAATTTTCTTCATCGGGTGCAGAAGAAATTTCTTGAATATATAGATGCCTCTGGGCGAGTCCGTGTTGTTCAACGCGCGTACAGCGAAGTGAAGTTACCAGCTAAAATGGTTGCCACTCGGGATGCCTCGGGTACTGGTAAGTGCGACACTCAACCTATGTTCAAAACCTGAATTAGAGCAAATTGCTGTTGAGCGCCACGACCAGGGCGTCAACACAACAACATATTTGCAGCCGAGCATCGATAAGGAGACACAAATTTCGATAGCAGATATCGATCCGCCAAACTCATGCCCACTTATTCCGCCACTGCTTCAGGTGGGCAATCAATCTTCTGACAAGCCTAGATGGACATTAGGACTCGGACAACTTTGAGCTGGATTTGTCCAACTTTTCCCGTTTTCACGTATAATACAACTCTGAGCCAATATTGATGTTTGAGCGTTGCGTTTCTGGGTCGTTCGTTACGTCCTTCCAGCAACGCATCGCCTGAAACCACTGCAGCATCACAGGCGAGGGGCGAGTCGAGCTTACCATGCTTGCAACACTTGTCGCCGTGTTCGTTCTATTCACGACAGCTACAGCCACCGCTGCGTTCGTTGATGACGCCAACAATGCAACCAAGCCCATCGACATTGGCGTCGACGTCGGTGCCTATATGTACCAAAGGACTACGTCGCCAGTTCTTGTCTACAATGCATCCGTGGACGACGCTGGGGCCGAGTTTCTTTCGCTGCGATTCACTGCTTTCAGCATTCCAAGTTCCGACTATGTGGTGCTGCGCGCCATGAACGGCTCCGTTGCTCAAGTTTACTCGTACGCAATGGTCGACGTCTCGACGGTGCCATTCTTTTCGGTCCCAATCTTCAGCAACCGCATGCGTCTCGAAGTCTACTCAATGGGCGAGTCCAACACGTCAACTCAGTGGAGCATTAGCGTCGATGCTTACCGATACTCTGGCACTCCAGACTCACCAGAAGGAGACTGCTCTCCAACAAGTACGGCATTTCCACCGCCTTGCAGAAACTCACCAAGAGAGCCGTTTTTCCGGGGGTCCCAGGCTGTCGCGCGGCTTTTGGTCAACGATGCCGCAGGCGTGAAGTGGTGCACAGGCTGGCTCGTCGGGTGCCAGAATCACGTGCTCACCAACTATCATTGCATTTCCAGTCAAGCCCAAGCGACCATGACGACGTTTGACTTCCACGCTTACAGCCCCGTGTGCGATAAGAACGTTTGCAGTACAGCCGGAGCGTGCCCTGGTACGAGTATTGTGTACGGTGGCGAACTCGTCGCATCGTCGCAGAGCCTCGACTATGCGCTTGTTCAACTCAACGTCTCGATCGCCAAAGGCAACTACCTCAGGCTTCAAAACTTTACTAGCGTTGGTGGCCCGCCAATTTACATACCACAGCACCCGTTTGGCCAAGGCATGCTTGTCGGGATCAAGACGCCGTCGACGGGCAACGGTCAAGTACTCACAAGCTCGTATGCCAATTGCGGCATGAACAACCTCTTGGGGTACATGGTTCCAACTGCGCCAGGGTCATCGGGGTCTCCAATCATTGCTTACAGCAATGTGGTCGTCGGCATGCACGCGTGTGGTGGTACGCATCTTGCGTTATACTAGTACTGTGGTATCTCACGACGCTTTCGGTTAGGTACATGTAGCAGCAGCATCAACGGCGGAATCCCTGCTCCACTTATTGTTGCCGACTTGGTACAGCAAGAGAAGCTTCCAGCGTGCGCAGTAGCATCGACGTCACCGCAAGCGAACGATCCAATCTCAGTTGCGACGCTGTTCGGGAGCTTGTTTTACCGAGCGCTTGGCGTGACAATGGACGTCTATGCACTGCAAATCGAAGCTTCAAATCAAGTGCTGGAGTTGCGCGTGACTTCGTATCAGCAAGATTTATCACCACCGTATGCGCTGCGCGACGTTCTGGGTCTTTGCGATGCGTCATACTTCGACGCCGTTGTGTATCTCATCGCCCAAGATGGCGGCGGGGACCTCTCCATCATTGCGTCCAACGACAACCAGTACATTGCTACGCCAGACGGCTTCGACTTGACGTCGTACGATCCGTATCTCAACTTTGCCGTCAGCACCGGAACCTACGCCGTGGTCGTTGGAACATCGTCGATGACATCCCTCGATGCACTCTCTGCAGCAACTGGCGCGTTTTCATCGACTGCGACACCACCTGTATACTCGGGCGGGACATTGCTGCACTGCGGTGCACCACATGCAGACGTGGGAAACTACGCTCTCGATATCGCCATCACGGGCGGCAATGACTCTCTCAACCAAGTCTCAGGTCCCAACACGAGCATCGGCAGCAGCTGTAACGCCGTGCCGCATTCAGCACCAGCGCCACTCACAATGTGTTCGTATCACCGCACTTCACCGCTGTACATCAATAGCGCCGTCTACGGTACTGTGGCAACGGTCGACAATGGTTCGATAGCGACAACCATCCACGTACCATTTGAGTTGTTGCGTGGAACGCTTTTGAGCATCGACGTGGTGTCGTACTTCGAGTGGGACAACGGAAGCCTTCTTCATGACGGCCAATGTGATCCGGCATACGTCGACACGGTTCTGTACATCTTTCAAGACACGACTGCCAACAACTTACAGCTGCTTGACAAGAGATTTTTGATTCTGGCCGTGGACGACGCACCCGTCGTGGACCGCGACGCAGGCCTTGCAATCAGCAGCCGTGATCCGTATATCAAGATGTTCTTGCCCGGAGGCAAGTATGTTGCTGTGATCGGCCGGTATCCGCTCTCGGTGGATGATGCCCGCTTCGTAACAGCTTTGTCGCCTCTCGCAAATGCTCATGTACACGAGCTTGGACCATGGAAGGCAAAACGACCGTGGCCAGAAGCTACCGCTCGTATCTTGTTTGCAGTCTCCACGGCCAATGCACTCGTGCCTCCGGTTTCCACTACCACCCCAAGTGACTGCTTCCACGAGTAACTTGTACAGCTGACAATTTACTTCAACGTGTTTAACTTGGTGGTGGAAGCACTAACCTTGCGCTCGATGAGGGATACCATGGTGCTTGGCGTTATCAAAGGCTTTCTGCAGCGAAGGGTCGCTCGACCGCTGAAAAAGGACGTTGGGTGCAACGGGTACTGAGCGCACGTGGTCGGCCGTGCCGCCAATCAGAACGTCCCCGACAAGTGTCGTCTCGACGTGGTAGCGCCAGTCGGACACGAAAAGGCGTCCTGTTCTGTCCATGTAGAGGACACATCCGAGTGATAAGCACGGCGCGTAGTTTGTCAAGAGGTTCACATTCCAGTTGCAAAAAGCCTCCAGCCATAGCGACGCCCCATCAATCATGACGCACGGCATCTTGCGTACACTGCAGCGTCGGAGCAACGTCACGCCAAATGAAAGCCACTTGTCAGCGAGGTAGATATCGTACGACGTGAGGTCCCGCGCCCGATGTGTGGAACCAGGCGCAACAGTACTGCGTCGTGATTTGTGGATCAGGAATGTCGCAGCGAGACACAAGAAAAGCAAAAATGCGATCGCGATGCCGCAGAACGCAACTTGCGTCGTGTAAACGAATGAAATAACTTGATCGAGCGTCGTGCCAGCGTGCATGCCGACGTCAACGACGGACGGCGCACTACATTGGATGAGAATAACGCCGAGCAGCATCAGAACTGAGCACTCGACGATGGTCATGTGCTGGAGCACGAGCTGTCGATCGATCAAGAGAAGCGCGATTTGCTTAGCAGCAATCAAATACAATGTCGTAAACGGTCGCATCGTCATGAGAGCGAGTATCCACGCTCGGAGATAGCTTTGCACCGAAAGACCTTGCAGCGTCAGCAGCATTGAGACTAAGCGCGGCCCGTTGCAAAAGAGAGCAAGCGCGTAGATACAATCAAGAAAAATGGCAAGTGGCGACTCGAGCAGAAAATGCAAGAGTGTGCAGATTCCTGTATATGTTGAGCGGCACACTAGGAGGCACAGTACCCATAGGGCGAGATACGGCCAACGCACGCTCGTCTTTAGAGTGTCAGTATCAACAAGATACACGGCGAGAGGCCCTGGTGAGTATGTGCCGTCTCCGACGAGTGGACTGCTCAACACGTTCGCTGAGAGAACACCAATCGATGACTCTGAGGTGTTACCAGCGACAAGGCGTAGCAAGAGACTCTGTGATATCACGAGATGCCTCGGACCCGAGAGCGCGATTTTAGTGAAGTACATTGTCGAGGCCACGCGGTCGTACATTCGGGCGTGCCAGCGCATATTGGAGCACATTGCAGTCACTTCCGGAGTTACGCACTCAACGACCCATTCTCCCATGTCGGTTGCATTTACGACGTAAGAGGCGTACGGCGCGCTTGGCAGAATCGAAGCGTTTACCCAGCAACCTTGGTCTGCAAATCGGTTGAACGCAGCTGGGCTGCGCAGCTTTTTGAGCGACGGAAACTGGCGTAGCTGGCATTTTGTTTGGGAAGATGACACTGCAATGTCACTCGCGCCGAGACCAGACAACCAGGACGCGTCCGGAAACACCAAATTGAAGTATGTGAGGAGCTGGGGATCGGTCGAGTACGACTTGAATACGATTTTACCCGCTTCAGCCACCTATACGAAAATCGCATTGAGCTTTCAAACACACCGAAGGAGCTTGGAGATAACAAACCTTTGGGACGGCAGATTTTGGGAGGAGCGCGCGAACGTTGTCTTCCGAGAGGAGGCCCGATGCATTCAAACGTAGCAGTGCAACGAGGTCGCTGTACGATGCTGTGAGAAGCGTCATGTTGGCCGGAACTCCCGTGAACGATATGTACGACGTGCTAGCAACCGTAGCCGCCTGTACATCCCACCAGTCGCCGCCAAAATTGACGCCGCCGAGTGCAGAGGCAACATCAGGAAGCCTGCTCCAGAGTGTTGCTGTCGTCCCCCAGAAAACAGAGTAAGCATTCTGACCGAGCGCTTCAATATAGAGAGGAAAGAATCCGATCTCGCCACCGACGTCAGGTCCAAGAGTCAAACCAAAGTTCACGTTGAGCGACCCATCGGGCGTTAGTGTGTTGCCGTTGAGGTTGGCGCTCGAGACGTTGAGCGATGAGAGCGATTGCAGCACGATCGAGAGGATCGCGAGCTCTTTTGGCTGCGCAAAGGACAAGAGCGAGCCCATGCGTCGAAAGCATTCGCTCACGAGCTGCGCAAATGTAATGGTCAGGTACACGAGCAGAGCCAGAACGACAAAGCTGCGACGATGCAATGGGGCAGTTGAGAGTACTTTGCTCGCTTCGGCAAGCATCGAGTGGGGTGAGGCTTCTGCCTTGGGTCCCGCAAGCATCCTTGATTAGAGTCAAAAGCCACTTGCTCAGGCGTTCTGGACCTTGGTTTCTTGGTGGTTACGACTGGAAAAAGGTGCCATCAGTTTCAGAGCTCACACACGAATGTCGCCAAGGCACTCGTTGTACTTTCATCCATCGCGGCGTCGCGGTCTGGGATCCGATACTGTCATTTTGGCGAGTACGTAGCTCGAGTGTTAGAAATGTCGAGAAGTTTGCGTTGTGCTTTCCATCGCAAGCGGCGCTCATGGGTTGCCTGTCGGGTTACACTTGAGGTCCTGCCAATCAAACACTGCCTCTTTCAACCAATCACGTGCCGGATCGCTAAATTCGAATGTTGACACTGGAGGAGGGCGTGACGTGCCGTCCGCGATGGTCATCAGGACCATGGAGTCTCTCGTACATCGTCGACAACGCTACAGCAAACCATTTCTGCGTCACACTTGACTTTGAGGGCTCGAGCAACATTGCCCTATATCGATCGCCCTGCCTCGAGCTGCAGGTGGAGCTGGGGCCGTACGACCGTGTGCGCGTTGTCGTGCGCCGCCTCGACGAGCAAGCCCGCTGCGCGATCAAGCTGCGTCATTCGGTCAACAAGCGTGAAGCCAACAGCAACATGCATGCTGTCAAGGAGCAAGAAGACAAGGCGCTAGCCACACTTCTGTTGGATGTGTACGCGGCTTCGTCCGTCGATGCAACTCAACGTCAAGGCCTGCCGTATGTCGATGCGACGTTCATGCCGTCCGAAGCAAGCTTGGGATATGGTGCACAAGCGTTCACTTGGAAGCACGTTTCACAGCTCTACGACCCACTGACCCCATTTATCGACCGAGCCAGCACCGTACTAGGCTTATCACCGGAAGCTCCACTCACATCAACGGGGCTGGTATCGGCCCTGACCATCTTGAGCGAGCGCCAAATCTTTCTCGAGAGAGCCATGAGCTCGCGAGATGGTGACGATCGCTTCTCCGTGCAGCTCTATCGCCGCGGCGAGCCCGTTCTTGTCGACGTCGACGGTTTCGTTCCTTGCGTACCGGGCGGCGGCCCGGCCATTATCAAGTGCACCCATGACGCTTTGTGGCCACTCGTGCTGCAAAAAGCTTTGGCCAAGTTGTTTTCCGGTTTTGGCGCTTTGCAGACTGCGTCCTCGTCATCGATACTGGAGGCCGTCTGCGGCCACCCCCGGTAGCCTTTCCTACGGACGGAGTTCTCAGCTCACACTGTCAATAGGCTCGCTTTCTCGCAAGAGGTCCTTTGCAACACGACAACGCTTGAAATGTTGCGGCGCGTGCAAGCTGCGATGTCAAAACATCATCTCGTGTGCGTGAGTGTTGCTTCCGTGGATGCAGCGATCGTGTCAGTTGAGTTGTCCTCTGCGGACGACCAAGCGTCGAGAGTTACACTGCGGGACGCCTCGCGTCGTCTTGATTCGGTGTTTCCCGAAGGCCTGCGGAATGGTGCCACGCTAAGGTGCAAAATTGGATCCAACTTGTTATCACCGCACCAATATTGAGTTTTCGTAGCGTGCACTACGATGAGTTTGCCGGACAAACCCCGACGCTGTGGTATATCCCACATGTTTCAGAAAGTCGTACCGTGCAACGGCGTCGCTTCTACATCCCGAGCAAGTCAGCCCCCGCAGCTTCGGAAGCGGTGTTCGCGCTGAGCGTTGTCGTGCCGGTTGTAGCCTTTATCGCCCTTCAATGTTTGGAGGCTCCTGCGGACAACATCGGAATCGCAGTCTTGGAGGTCCAAGACAATTGCCGAATTCACGAAGTTGCATCGGCGTCAGCTACTCTGGATCACTCAAGCTGCAGTGTACCCACGTAACACTCATTGATGGTCGAGTTACGAAGCTGTATGCGATAGATGATTGTGCAGTTTGCTCCTGGCGAGTACCTCATTGCCGTCAAGCCTTGGAGCCGTTGGAAAGAAACACCACGAGACACAGAAAACAAGCTCGAAGGTGAGGCGGCGCTACGGCACTTTTTCCGCGTCCTGGACACAGACATGGATGACCGCCTCGGTATCGACGATTTGCGGCGTTTCCTTCAAGTCCGACCTGCACCCCTCCCTCCTATGTTTGCTGATCGAGCACCTTGCTTAGGTCTACGAAGACGGTCTTACCTTGAGCGAAGCTTCGTTTACATCAATTGTCAACGAGTTCGAGTCCGACGCTCGTGGACTCACGTACCAGGGGCTCAGCGAATGCTACGAGAGCTTTGGCGTTGGCGCGACCGATTGCAGTCACGCTATCTTTCAGACATCGGCGCAATGCATACTGAGCCTTCATCTATCGTGCCCGGCGCAGGACGTGGCGCTTCTTCAGATCGAGTAGTCTGCGAGATTTGCAATACAAAGTTTCATTTACGCTTTTACAGAATGCGGCATGTAGCACACTGCACGATCTTACTTGCGCACCTTGGAATCCAAATTCATCGTCACTGGTCCGTCCCCGACCTACATGTATTCGTCATTGAAATGGGCGCGAGGGGGTGATGGTCGTACGAGGGACACTTCCATGTAAGCTCCAAACACGCCTTCTTGCACCTGATCGGGCGCCGTGTGAGCTTTCCGAACACGCGTGACAAGGTTGTCAAAGAGCACTTTTGCTGGTTCCGGTGCCACTAGACAGTAGTTGATTAGCTGCTACGTCGCGGATCGCGTGTAGGTACGGACTGGAGAGATGAAAGTCAGGCTTGTTGCCGTTCATGTAGCCATGCAACGTAAACTGACTGACCATGAGCACCTGAAAGTTATTTTGGAGCACGGATGTCATCCACGCCTTTCCGTCGTCGTTGGGCCAAAGGCGAGCGTTCTATGCACCGCCGGCGTGAGCGGCATGCATGGCGGTGTTTTGTACCAAGATGCGCCGACAGCACCATTCCGCGTCGTCTTCCGTGTCGTCGCGACCAATGCCAACGAGGCAGACGACGCCCTTGGAGATGCTGCCCACGGTCTGCCCGTCGACCTTGACGCCGCCGCTGGTCACACGCTGGATCACAAGCTTCATGAAAACTGAAGCTGCTCTTGGCGTCTCTGCTACTCGCTTATCCGGAAGAAATGTGCTATCCGAACCATACGATTAAAATTCACTTTCCACGAATGATCGGTTGGCACCGCGCAAAGCGAGGCGAACGACTCAGTCGATCCGTGTGAGAACTCGCGTCAACTCGCGAGCGAGTCGATAACATTTGAATACGCCCATTGTTGGCAGCAGAAGCAGTCACGCCATTCGTGACCACCTCTCGAAATGGTATCGAATAACGCTGAGGACAACGGACAAATCAGCAGTGCTTAAAGGACAACAACACACTATCAGCTATGGGTCGTCGGTGGCTGTGAAACCACCGGTGCCACAGACGTCATCGGTGCAACTTTCTGCTGTTTCTTTGGACGTCCAGGCTTCCTACAAGCAATACTCGTGTGAGATCATCGGTATATCCTCGTCGGTCGCACGGCTTGGGCGCTAGGCGTGCGCCAGATAAATACGCATCGGGGTCTTCACCCATTCGCTTGAGGTGGTGCTGTAGCGTCTGGAACGATCGCTCGAGTTCGTACTGCATGTCCTTGATGATCCCGTGCTTAATCATGCTCGCGCGATTGGCGTTGATCATATATCCTGTCTCGGTATACAACGTCTCGATGATCTCACGACCCGTGATTTTGGACACATCGGGCGACTGCTTGCAGAGTTCCGAGTTGGCGAATATCGCTTGCAGCTACGTGTGTCACGTAGATGAGCACACAACGATATAGTAGATGAGCCCGCGCACCTCGTCGGTCGAGTACGTTGTCAGCCGCGTGTCTTTCTTCTCGTGCACGTGCATCGCATGGTTGTGTTCCAGCGCGCACTTGACGCGGATGCCAAAGTTACTTTGATTCACGCTCACTAGGAACGGGCACCCAGCCTTGCTCGTGCAAATCCAGAGCCGGCGCCGCCCTCCCTTCTTCGACTTGTCAATGCCAACCTGGAAGCCGCACACCTTGGCCAATTGCCGCACCTTGACTTTTGCCTACTCTCGCGATGAATCACAAAATATATCCAGCGCGCGCACGTACGTCGTCAAAGGAGGCCACCATGACGTACCGCCGGTCGGTCGGATCGCGGTTCACGAGCCCGAGGTCAGCTGCATGAGGCAAGAAGGCCTCGACGCGCGGAATTGACGCCATGAGTCCGTCAATAGACACGGCTGCCACTGAAGCAGCCCCATCCAGAGGCGGTTCATCGTCCATGGAGGCCTGCAGAGCCTGAACAGACTCGGGCAGCGCCTCGACGCGGCCAGACACGAGACTTGGCGACGCCGTCTTGCGCATTTCGAGCGCCATGTGCAAAGGGAGCATCTTATCTTTCGGAAGGTGGTCGTAGGGTCCCTGTAAGAGGTAGGCCGCCATCGGCCGAAGGGCGCCTCCTTGCTCACTGGCGGCTTCGTCCACGGGTTCGTCAGCGCGGTGTGCTCGAGATGCCATCCTGAATTGTATGCGCAGCTCCGGGATTGCTCCGGGATTTTCGACTACAGCAATGGGTTTAGTATTCTGTTTAGTCGAAAAGATCGTGAGCGGGATGGCGGACTTGAAGCAGCGGCTCCAATCCCTGGCGGCGGAGGTGAACGCGACGATGTCGACAATGGCCTTCCTCCTCGGATGCTCTGAAGGGTACTTGGCGTCGTGGCTTGAAGTAGCGCCTGCTGAAGACGACTGCCTTACGGAACGGGTCGAGTATCTGCTGCGGGCGAACGGCGTCACACGGCTCCTCGACGCCCGACCAGGCGTGATCGAGCAGAGCGCTCAAGCCCCAACAGCGCTACTTCTGCGTACAGCAACACCTCAACTTCAACCGCAGCAACTCGTAGAGCTGCGAGAAACCGGGAGCCCACTCCCAAGCCAGCTCCCAAGCGTTCTCGACGGCGTTCAAGTGCACTCAGGCATGGAGTCCTTGTCGCGATACTTGCGTCATTGCCATCGGCGAGCAGCGTCTTCGTACGCTACACAAAGGCGCCACGAATGCATCATGTTGCGCTACTCAATGGAGTCACTCGTACCGATTCGCCTCACGCTCCTTTCCAAACACGGGCGATTTCAAGAAGCTTTCCTGTGGGACGCTGAGCAGCGCGAATTGTCGCCTGCCAGTTTCGCCGCGGTGCTTGCAACCGAAGTGCAGCTTGATCCTGACAGCGAGGTACCTCCGCTACCACCTGCATACAACACTTATACCGTTGCAGCAGGCGATCTCAAGATCGATCACAACGCAGCTTTTGCACCACGCACCCTCGCTTGTGCCGATGGACCGCAGCCTCGAGTTTCTTTTCCCGATTGCCATTGACATCGAAATTGGTGGTCTCCGCGTAAGTGTTGTGTCTCTCTCCTTGAAGTAACATGCCGTCAAGTTTCATGACGAGTTCGAATGGGACATCGCGGCAGACGAGAACGACGCAACGATATTTGCGAGCCAGGTACAGGATGTCTTATGACCGCACCTCACGACTACTTAGACTTGCAAAGATATGGGTCTTCCTGCGCCTTTTCAGGGTGCCATCGCGCACACGATTCAGGAGCAAGTGCTGTTCCAAAGAACTCTTGTGTTCAGAGGGGCCATGAGAGACGGCGGTTCCTGGTATTCAGACCTCCAGCCAATCAACGTCGACACCTCAATTCCGCAACCCCTCTCGCCAATGCATCGTCCGTCGCCGAAGCACCCTCCAAAGGTATTCCAAAAGCGCTACTCTATTGCATGTAAAGAGGCTCGACCGGCCACAGGTCTCGGGGCTCGATGTCTATGTGCATCATCACCGAAGGCTGCACAAGCGTAATCGCAGACGCACCACCAAGCAAATGCATGCGGCGTGGAGAGCTCTTTCTGCCACGGTGCGATTCTAATTCAACACAATTGACTTGGATCACAATGCTTTAGGAACGTGCTTGCTTTGAAGCACTAGCGGCGCGTCAGATGCGAGACAATCGTCGTAGCCACAAACGCCAGCGCCGCGACGAGCGCATTGAACGCTGGGAGGAGCTCGAAGTTTGGCGCAAGCGACTGTCACTACCTGTTGAGCGCCAACTATCGCCACCCGAGGCGCGAGCGCTCCTCCTCGACGTCATATTGTCTCCATGTGTCAAGGTTTGGCTCATGTGGAACCACAGGACTACATCGTAGCACGAAATCGCGTCGACGCCGCTCTTATGGCAGCAGCAGCTACGATGGACGTAGAAAGTCGAGATACAGCATCTAGTTAGTTTTCCGTGTACACGATGATGCCCGTAATGTCTTCGACTTCTTCGGTCAAAAGCTCGACAAGCTCCTGCTGCTTCTCACGCGTGTTGAACCATTTCTTGAGGCGCGAGTCGTACTCGAAGCGCTTGGGCCCGCTCACAGGCGACGACCACCAGATCTGGCGGTTGGGACCTTGCTTGTTGAGCACCCATGTGCCGTCTTCACCGAGGTTGATGGTCAAGACGCCTTGCTACAGGAAGTATGGCGTTATACCGTCATAATATCGAGGATTGCATACCGAGAGCGTAATATCAGCGTCCGGCAGAATCGCTTCGATACCATCCATCATCTCGAGGATGTCATTGAGGACGACGTCGCTGAGCTTCATGAACTCCGACTCGGTCATGCCTGGCACAACCGTCTCCGTGCTAAAGGCCATGGTCCGCGAGGCCACAAGAGCGCGCGACGAAGACTTCATTGCGGGCTTGAGTTGCGGCAGCGCATGGGCAGATGCGCGAGCCACGTGGCGATGCGCCAAGCGGACGATCGAGCGCACGCCAGCCATTTTCCAAATTGGCCGCGATCTGGCATCGTTGGGGATCGGTTATCCGGATGTGAAGGCCACAGGACACGCTTTCCGGACGATCACAGCGGAGAACGCGACGCAAAGTCGCACAGTTTGAGAAAGAGCATCACAATGATACTAGTAGACCGGTAGAACGTTGACACAAGAGCTCGACGCGGAAGCTATAGCTACTGCTTGTGTAAGGTGCTAGTGGTGTGTTACAGTGTATCCTCTACGTTGCAAATAGTAGGTATAGTCAACCCAACTTTCCAAGCCAATTGCTCGCATAGTTAGGCGCCCTCAGTGTGCGTCTGGGTTGAGAATGAAGTGTTTATCTTCTACTCGACCGTATATAGGTAATTCGGGAGCTTGAAGCGGGCACCCGTGTAGTTGCCTGTGATGTCGCCAAACTGATCACCCAGACAACCGATGACGTTGTACTCTTTCTGGAGCTTTGCGCGCGCTCGCTGCTTGAAGTTGGCCGTCGACATGAGATGCTCACAAGGTTGGCGCAAAACGACCCTAGGCGATTGAAAAGGACGTCAATGAAGACTCATTTCGGCATAGTAGCGGACATATCTTCGCGATAGCCAGCAAGAAAAAGTGCCCGCAGTGTCGCGTCTCGAACCCGCTCTGGTCGCTCCGATACGAATACCACCTGCAGTACATGTCGGTTTTAGCACCGCCATGAACTTCGAAAGTACCTTGATGCCCTTCCATTTCAAGTAGGAGTAGAACCGGAGGACCATAGGATTTGCTGGCGGTGAGCCGTGTATGAGGTACTTGAATTGAGTCATAGGAATCGCCTCGAACTTGGTCGACTTCATGTAGCCGTAGCTCACAAGCGCCGTATCGTCAATGTCGAGTACAAAAGCTAGGAGCTTGCTTCACGACACGTCATTTATCTGCACGTGATTACCGCATTGCATCTCAAACGGTAATGTTTCCAGCAGGTGGACGGCGCGGCTGAGGATGACACCGCAGTCACGTTCGTAGATTGATGAGTCGGCATTCGCCGTTGCTTCGTAGTAGCTCAGGATAAAGTCGCGGGGCATGCAGAACTTGGCGAGGTTGGTGCTCCTTGGCGCCTACGTGACGGTTTTCACAAGCTTGCACACGATGCACAAAACCACACGAGTGACGCCGCCCGTGCGAGCTTTGAAACCTCGGGTTTGGGCAAAAGCAATAGCTGTGATGGAGCTGCTTCAAGAGCATCGAGACGCGCAATTAAGTCGGCAGAAAAGGCGCCATAAAAGTCATACCTTCCACGTCACTGTATGACATAGGACGTACAACCAAGGTTCTTACCGACTGGGCACCGTCCGGAGTGCTTCAACACCGACAAAAGTGTCGGGGATATCGACGATGTCCAAGTCGTAAGGCGGTCCATCCAACGTTGCTCGCGGCTTACTGCGCTCAGTGGCACTGTTTGTTTGGCGTTGTACCTCTCGGCTCTCTTCGAGTTCTCTATACTCTAAACTTTGAAATCAATAACTCTACAACAAAACGTATACCGTAAAAGGGGGCCGTGAATCGGGTTATGAGCAAGGCCAGCGACAATCGAGGCAACAGACACCGCCGATTTGTTCAGCTTGGCCTCGGCGCGAGCCTTTAGTAAATAGGCCTCGTGAGCGCCGTGAAATCGCACGAGCATTGCAGTCGCCGTTGCTCGCGCGACCTTGTAGAGCAAGAACGAGCACTCTAGCTATATAAGTTCGATAAGACTGCCGTTGTGCTGCGCAAACTGGTATGATAGACCTTGTACTTGTGAACGTACGCTTGGTACACAATAGCGTCGTGGCCAGCATCGTCTTCGTCTATGATCTGTGCAAACACGCGGATCGCAAGGCGCGACCGATCGATCTTTTGTGCGTGGAGGGCATCGGCAAGGAGCGTCTCAAGCCGATCCGGTGTCGTCGGCAGAGGTTTCGGCATCTTTTAAATTTAGGCACAGCACTCGTCGTTTTTGCTCGCGGTGTTGTCGTGATGGAGTACACGCAGAGCTCGGTGCGCATCGATCTCGCATCCTCTTTCGATCCTTATGTCGTCGGGTTTGGGTACTGTAGTACGAAGGCAACACGAGCTTTGGGCGGCTCAACGGCCACGGCGTCTACACTTTCCCAGACGGTATGAACTTTGTCAACCATTTTAAACTTCACCCACGGCGCCCGTAGGCTCTCGGTACGAAGGCGACTTCCAGAACGGCCAGTTCCACGGCCGAGGTACGCTCTTCTTTCCCCAAGGCCGCTACGACGGCACATGGAAGGACGGCAAGGTGCGCTCAAATTTTCATATCTCTGGCGCTTTATACTGCGTTAGAAAGTGGACGGCAAGTTTACGTTTGCGGACGGCCTCGAGTACGCGACGCCGTGGAATTACAGCACCGAGGACGACCGTCGATACCATTGCGAGAAGGTTGCGCACGCGACGGCACCGCATGCCAACGGCTATGGCATCAAACCTCCCGGAGAGACTGCGTATTGTACCGAGGGCGTCCAGAAGATGCTACCGTACGGCTATTACGACGCCGGGAACGGCTTTTACGACGAATTTACCAACACGGTCGTGCCCGCGTCGACGCTCGACCCGGGTGACGCGCGTGAAGCGACGGAAGACGAGGCAGAGTGGATCAAGGCAAAGGCGGCGAAAGGCTTTGCCAAGTAACTCCCCAGTAACCCCTTTTCGCCGTATTAACTACAACGCACCATGTATACCGCAAGCAACTCTTGGACCATTATCTTATGCAACGCATACAAATGGTCTGTTTCCTCGAGAAGTGCGAAGATCGTCATTGAGTCATAGACCTAGACCATGTCCGGGTGGTAGCGGTGGGGCGCAGGTGGTGGCTCTGAAAGAGCGATCGTCGAAAACGGACCCGAGACGTAATCGGGGTTTGTGTCGTTGAGACTGTACAAGGCCGGTGCCTTTGGCTCGCTATCGTTGTCAGCGCTTACATTTCCCTCAAGCACCTTGATCAACCGGTCGTTAACCTACATAATGCATCGCGTTGAAAACAGTCGTCGCGTCATTGTCTACCGTGAGGCACGTTTCCAGCGTTGCCTCGTCGAGCTTGCCCGCAAGGCCGGCCTCAATGAGCGTATTCATGCGCGGCTGGCATTGCTGCAGGAAGTCCAAAACATCGTCGGCGTCTTCACAGTTGCCAAGCGCCACAAGATTGACGTACGTCTTGATTTTGTCCTCTACCACGACGAGGTCTTGGCGCAGCTTGTCAAACTCGTGCGCGAGCGATGGCTTAGCAGATACCGTCTCGTCATGGTCAGTGCTGCTGGCCGACGCACTCTGCAGCTGGAGCTGCACAAACGTATCACGGAACATAGGTTGCGACGGATACTCGGTCGACCATTCTTGCAGCATGCGTAGCGCTCGAGCACTCGCGTCGGGATAGCGACCGTCGCCGTCCACGAGGGCGACAATTTCTTGGAGAAAAAGTCGGCTCGCCACAAGCTCAACGAATGACGGGCAGTTCTTCATGATCGTCTCTGTCGTGACCAGCGCCAAAGAAACTTGGTCTTCGCTCTCGCGGCGGCTGAGGAGGCGCTGGATCGCTCGGCTCGTTGCCTCGGCGCTACGTACCAATCACTTAGCCCAGGTCGCGCAGCCGTAAACGTACTCGGTAGCGTTGGCGCCCACTACATCGCAAAGCTCGAGGATGACCCCCCAGTCTGGGTTGGTCGCATCGCCGGCGCAGACCATGCTCAGAAGCGCGCAGACGTCGTCGCTCGGTCGGTCGTCCATGTTCTAAAATTACCGATGCCAACGCACGTTTTAATGAACGCGTGGCGTTTGAATACAAAAACAAGGTTCTCATTAAACATTTTATTTTATGACGCGAAAACCGATCCTGGGCGGGTGATGTGGCCACATGATCCAAGCCCAGGAGCAGCGCACACGAGGATATACGACGTCGCCAGCCACGCGCTCCAGGGAATAAAGCAAATAATTCGCTTGCACGCGCTGCAATGTCGATCCAAGTCCAAGACCAGATGTCAGAGTCGACCCCGTTTGAACCGCCGATGGTGCGAGACGAAACGGACAACCAAACAACATATATTCTCATTGCACACGTCAGTCAACCATGGAGCAGCGCAACCAACGTCTCTGCCTCGATCGCTCCAACGCCCTGGCGTTCGACTACAACTTTGCGAAAGCAGAGGCGCTCTGGCAAATGCTTGGCATCCCGCCATCGCTCATCAACGGCCTCCACCCTGACATTCGCGCCGTCGTGCACGCCATCGCCCAGCACACGGTCGAGCTCGAAGCCCGCTGTCGTGCCAACGCCAACGAGGCACTGAGCACACGAACGTCCGACATTCTTGCCGTGGTAAACGAAAACCACGCAGCACACCTCACACACGTCGGTGAGATGGAGGTAGCGCTTCGGGCCACGACGACAATTGTGCGCCAGCTCGACGAGCGCGTTGCAAACGGTGTATCCGTCTCGGAGCTTCGCAACACTGTAAATAGCATTCAAGACGGCGCAGAGATGCAGTGTGCTGCTCTGCGGGAGGAACTCCAGCAGTGGACGACGGACCTCGTGACACCAGCTTTCGCGACCCAGTTGAAGATGCCCGCAGTGGAGGCCAAAGTTCGCTTCATGCTCGACCATGAGCGCATCGCGGTCGCGCAAGCCAACGAGTTCCAGATGGAGCACTGGATGAAACGTATCGAGTCCAACACTGCGTCGTCAATCAACGTCATCCAAGACGAAATCACAAAGTGTCGCGCCGAGGTGCGGAGTGCACGGCAGCTCGTCAAAGACCTCGAAGGCCGCGTCTTGGCCCAGACAAGACAGCACGTAACGGAGCACTCGAAAACGATCTTCAACTGGAAAGACTCGGTCGATGCGACTTTGCGCGAGCTGCACGAGACGCTTGACGTCATTATCACTGAAAAACTGCCAGGGGTGGCGCACGAAATTCGATTCGAGGGCGATCGGCTTGTGCAATTCGCCTCCAAGACGTTTCTCTCAATGGCCGACTTTGACGTAGCGATGAAACGCGTGCAGCAGCTGACGCTCGACTTCAAAACGTCTAAGATGTCGCTCGAGGCGCAGACCACCAAGTGGTCCGTGACGTTTGATCGCGTCTCGGACGATTTCAAGCTTCTCGCCAAGAAAATTGCGCTGATTCCAGACGTGATCCAAGACTTTCACGACCGCTTTGAGTGGAACAACAAGCAATGTGCCCACCGCTGGGAACAAAAGGTTACAGAAATGTATGCGCTCGAGGTGATGCAAAGTACGTCCTTGGTATTTTTATGACATGGTACACTAGAGCGATATCAAGAACCTGAAGACAGCCATTGCGACAGGTAGAAACCACGTCGACGCAGCCGTCTCTGCACTTCACGTCTCGCTACGAGAGTCCTTCGATGCGCAGGCTCGAATGCACGACCGTGAATTGGCGGAGTGCAAAACACGGCTACTGGAGCTGGGTCATGGCTGGTCGAGCGCCGTGTCACAGCTCCAAACCAAGCACGCCACCGATGCCACAACACTGGCAGATGCAGAGCCTGCTCCTGCCTACCTGTCGTCCGAAGAGTACGAGCGCCTCCACGTCTTGTATACAAAGCTCACGACAGACGTCATGGCACTTGCTCGGCGCTACGATGGGTTCCTCGTGCAGTGGGACCGCATGCGACGAGAGTTGCCGTGGATGGAGCACCATGCAGCACCGCATTTCGACCCGCTGAGCAACATTGACTGTGCTAAAGGACTCAAGCTCCCTCAGTTGGTCCAACTACCGGCTCAAATCTCCCCGCAAATGGAGGTTCATCTTGTGCGGACTCTAAGGACAAATTCTCATGTAAGCGGTGGCATTAGACCCACAGTAGTGGCCCCGCGCAACCTCCGAAAAATCCTGTTGCCATGGTCCACCACGCCCGAGCTGCTGCTGTATCGTGCTTCCGAATCCTGCCGCTGCGGCCAACGACCCCGAGAAAGACAAAGGATTTGCGGCCTGCAGTAAACAACCAGTCATAGTGCTGAAACGAGGCAATGTCCACACCTTCAACACCATGTCATTAGAAAATATGATAAGAAAAATTTTAAACAGAAATGTCTTATCGCAACTTGCCGTTTAAAGACTTGCCGCTGCACGAACAATCAAATTTCTTTGGAGGAGTGGGGCTAATTCGGTGTTCTACTCGACGATGAACTTGATGGCGACGAGTTTCTCGCTGATGTCCCAGAGTTGCGACGCTACATTCGTGTCGTGGCTGGCGGGTGTCGACTCTTCGAGGACAGGCGGTCCCCAGCGAGAGAAGGACTGGGGCCCGTAATATTCGCCGCCTTTGACACCTTTCGCGACTGCTGCGTACAGCGTTGGTAGACAGCCGACGTGGACAGGCTGCAGTGCAACGCGAGCCACGATCGGGAAAAGCCACGGCATGAGACCACCCGACCACATGTGCGGGAAGAGGTTCGTGTTGGTCCACCCTGGGTGACACGCCACCGACATGACGTGCTCAATGCCCTTGGCGCGGAGTCGCCGGTCGAGCTCGTAACTGAACATGAGGTTGCATAGCTTCGACTGCTCGTATGCCTTCATCGGCCCATAGGCCAGCGGTGTCGGCATGAGGTTGCTGAAGTCGACGGCGCCACGCCGATGTGCGAGACTGCTTAATGTCACAACGCGTGACGACCGCGAAGCTTTGAGTACGTCAAAGAGCTGCGCCGTGAGCGCAAAGTGGCCGAGATGGTTGACGCCGAACTGTGACTCGAAGCCCTGCGCCGTGACCGCATAAGGCACCGCCATGATTCCCGCATTGTTTACGAGAACGTCCAAGTGAGCATGCTTGGCCTTGAAGGCATCGGCGAAGGTTGTGACACTCGCCAAGTCATTAAGATCCAGCGGTAGGACCTCCACGGACGCGGTTGTGACCACTGAGAGGATGCGCTCCTTGGCGGCCGCTGCCTTTTCCGCGCTACGACACGCCAGGACGACATGTGCTCCCTTTCTTGCGAGCTCCAAAGCCGTCTGTTCACCGATACCGGAGCTTGCCCCGGTCACAACAACTACGGAGCCGGTCAAGTCGGCAATGTCGGCCGCCGTCCACGCCATCGTCCTTCGTTAGCCTTTCGCCTTGCTCTTTCGCCTCGTATTGGCGTGTTATCCGGACATGTGTGAACTTCAACAAATCCACTGTACTGTATACACAAGCATACCCGTACACTGCATCGTGGACAGCTCAATTCTTGTACGATTCCCCTGTTGGATTATACACTGTTTTTTAACACACGACTCCTCAAACATGCGAGATTGCACCGATCCATAAACCTTGCTGCTCCTTATAGCATCGTTTTACTGAAGGGGACGATTAAGTTTGTTTGCAGTCATGGAGGGCTGTGGGGCCCATAAAACTTCAAAACTCCAGCTCTGCCCCGATCTTTTGAGGCTGTGGAGGTCACTTGAGCTTCTCCATAGAAAAAAATTGATACAATTTATGCTCATATGGATCCAAGCAACGTCACTTGATCCCATGGAGTCCATGATTGGAGGATTGGAGCGTGATTGGAGGGCATATTTCCAACGTTGCAAAAACATTTTGGCCAATGCAAACACGCCACCCGTGCGCTGCCCAATCACAGCTAAGGGCGACTTGCCCACATATTAAATATGTTCTGTTAAATTTTACGGCTCGATATCCAAAGAGCTTGTATTTTGTAAGTCAACTGCAGGGGAAATTAAAATTTAAGTCACCAGAATAAAAATATCGTGGCCAGCGCCACCAATCATCGAGCCAGCGCGGCCAAGGCTAGGAGATGGCATTTTAGAATTAGCAGCTTCCGAGGCAAGTGCCTCGAGCAACGTCTCGAAACAGCTGTAGTACCTCGGGCAGTTCCTGAAAGGCCTGGATGGAACACAACTCTATCATACCAATGGAGGTGTCGCCATCTGGACCGTCTAGTGTCCTTCTGAGCTGTCCGAGTTCATATACGCTATATTAGACCGAGTTGCAATGATGCAAAACAACTTCTCTGAGGCTTGTACCAACTAGCCGTGAAGGCAAGATATACACTATCACCCATAATGTGAGCAACACACACATTGTAGTTTGCACATGTAGCAATGAAGGGAATGATTTCTATTTCCATTGGTCCGTGTTCTAGATCCGCGTTATCGCGATGATATTTTTTTCAATGGTCTGACCCTTCAATTGCACTACATTTTCTTGCTGAATATCTGCTTCCCATCACTCCACACCGGCAGTATTTTTGATCCCGCTGAAAAGTTGGATCTTATTGTGACTGGACCAGTACTTTTCACGGAAGCAATAGCATTCAGCGATTCCTACGGATGCGGTCGTTATTTTATACGGTCTTATCAACAATGTCTTGCTGACATCTTTAGTGATTAGTTCTAGTTTGTCTGAAAATGAGCGAATGATTACAAATCTATGCACCACTCTGAATGCATATTACCCTTTGCGAGTCATGTTGAGATATACACCTGTGTTTATGAAGCTCATTATTTACACATTACATATCTAGTGTTTCAAGGCTATGAGGATTGTTATTTACAGACCTGTTCTGAATGACAATCATGTGGAACTATAACATGCATCACCATCTGAGCCTTATTTTTTTCCAATCTACACAATTGACATCGGGAGTGATGACTATTACTTTGCCCTGTGTCTTTGATCCCTTCTGTGTCTCTCGGGATGCTGTTGGAGTATGACAACACCTTCAAAGCGCTTACCCAGTCTCAATTTGTTTCTATTCTCTATTGTTCAGTCTCTAATCTAGATTATGCATGTAGATCACTTTATGAGCGAATGATTACAAATCTATGCACCACTCTGAATGCATATTACCCTTTGCGAGTCATGTCGAGATATACACCTGTGTTTATGAAGCTCATAATTTCATCTTTCATTCAAGAAAAAGTGCGATAAAGCAAAATATAAAACGTATTATTATTTGGCACGGGAATTTATTTACAAGGTCACAATACCTTCGCATACAGTACCTGTTTGATGTGTCCAAAACGACGAGTTTTTCGCTGCTACCCCAAACGCAAACACCCACGCCAGCTGCTAAAGCCCAGAAATTGCGTCCCCATTGCACAAACCGAAATGCAGGGTGCGAGAGGCATGAATAGAGTTTCATCTTCCGTTTCATCCATGGAGAAGGCAGTTGACAGTGGAGATGCCCAGTTGAGTCTCTGAGTGACCCCTTTCCAGTAGTCAAACCCCGCACCTAAGCTTACTGCACGTCGCTGCGTACACCGCTTGGTCCCTTCGATTACTCGATTGCCCTATGCGTCGCACTATGGTGGTGAAAGAATTATATAATACTTCAAGAAATAAACAAAGGCATGTGTTGTTCGGGTTTACGGCAATCATCTCTTGACTCAGCCCGAAGTCCGGTGAATAGGATCACAGCTTTCATCATTTGATAGCGCCAAAGTTACTGGAAGCGAAGTGTGCGGTAGTTGCGGCGCCACGATCTAGCGCATCTGGCCTTCGCGTCCGTTTCATTCTGAACGGCGAGGGGATCTCGCCATCATGGACGGGATCAAGTACGTGCCCTGTCACCATCGCAATGTTGCGCTCATGGATCTGAAGGGACAAGTATCGGCGCGAGTGGGAGACTCTCGAGAAGGAGGAGGCGGCGGTGCGACCTACTAGCGAAGGCGAAGAATCACGTGTGTCGGTCTAGCTCGCTCAAGAGAAGAAAAAGCTCAGCGATGAGTGGGTCTCGATCGAGAAACAGCAGCAACTCTACGAGAAGGACCGCACTGCGTACGTATTGATTATTGCGACGTTGCTACTACGACAAGATGCTAGGTTCGAGAAGCAAGTGGCCTCAAAGCTTGATTTTTTGGCACCCGACACAATTGTGCACTTCAACGTCGGGGGCAAAGTACACGTGCTTGTGCTGTAACTTTGCGTGGGATATTCAGGGCTATGTAGCTCTTCAAGTCCACGGTTAGCGTCTGGGCACGCGATCGATTCTCGATCCTCGCACAGCTGTGTACGACCCAGCCCAAACTGTGCGCCGATGGTCGCGGTCACTACTTTTTTGATCGCGACTGGCTCGTCTTCAAATTTATCTACGCCTTCCTGCGAGACAAGACTCTACCCGAGAGCATGGACACGCTCCGCGACCTGTACGTCCTATGAGAGCGAAGACCATGCTCACGCTCCGCACCACTTGTAGGTACTACGAAGCCTCGTTCTATCGCATCACACTTCTTCGCCACGCGATTGAGGCGTACTTGAAAAGCTGCTCCAGCATAGCGCAAGTGCACGCGGGGTACGCGACTGACCCGTCGCTCGCTATTGTCCGAGAAAACGAGTGGAGTACCCATGGACGACACGACGGCACACAGAGCGACCGATGGCACGTTGATGACGACCACCGACACGCTGAGACCACGCAACGTCGCGAGAAGCCACGGCCAAAGGGTGATGGCTGGCGGGAGATTATTTCGTCTCATGACGACCGCGAGTGGCAGCGCGAAGCTGCTCGACCGATGGACACATACGGTGACCCACGACGTGGTAACACTAGCCACGCACCTCTTGCGTTGCAGTACCGCACGGCGCGCCATGGGCACGTGACATACGATCCAGCACTGGATTTTTTGCGCGACCAGCACCGACGTCATCCCGAGGACAACCGACGAGGTCACGACGGTGACAATCGACGCGACCATGCTCGCTACGCCTCAGCTCACCCCAATGACGCCCATTCTCGCCGTCACGATGTAGCACGAGGCACGGTCCAAGATCACCTTGGCCATGTTGAGTCGTCAACAAGCGGTCGCTCGACGATGAGATGTCGTTGGGGCACGTCATTCGTCATCACAAGTCGGACGGGCCGTGGTTACATCGCCCCGTTGTCGTCGCGGTTGCATTAACCAAGGCGCCGCAAATACCTGGTCCGGTGTCACGGTCGTGTCAACACAGTGCGTCAACACACAGCGTTTGTGCGCTCGCAACTCGGCATGTGCCACAGCCTAAACAAGCGAGAGATCCGCGTTGGGTGCGATTAGATTCGGTCATTGAATCCTAATTAGGATGTCAGCCGGCGACGTCGCCGCGTGTTTCGGACATTTCGTGGCGAGCATGGACCTCAGCGCGCTCTACTACCCGTACAGCCATACGCTCCCCGCGGTCTACGCGCAGACGCACAAGCTCGTGGCGTACAACAGCATCTACAACGCGTTCGAGCTCTACTGGCTCTGCGTGCTGCCGCTGCTCGTGCTCGGCGTCCCGCTCTGTCTCTCGTGCCTGCCCGTGCGCCTTTCGCTGCCGGCCAAGGTTCGCCGCTGTCTCATCTCTTCATGGCCTCCTGCTACCTTCTGTGCAATGACTAGCTGGGCGAGAAGCCAGTAGCAGCGTCCTCACGGCCTGAATGGGACCCGACCTGGGTCGTTCCCAGGCACATTGCGGCCATCATGGATGGCAACCGGCGCTACGGCCGGACGCGCTATGGCCTGCCGCTAAAGGGGCACCAAGACGGCAGCCAGCGCGTCGTTGACTTTATGAACTGGTGCGTCGGCGCCGGCGTCCAGATCCTGACCGTCTATGCGTTCTCGACCGAGAATTGGGGGCGCGCGCAGGCCGAGGTTGACGCGCTCATGAACATCTTTACGAGCTTCATGCACGACATCATCCCGCAAGCGCTCGAGCGCAACATCCGCGTGTGCGTCCTCGTCTCGGACGGCGCCAAGTTCCCGAGCCACATTGCCTCGGCGATTGAGAAGATTGAGACGGCGACCGCCCACTGCACGGCCTTTACCCTCAACATTTGTGCCAGGTACACATGTATCGACGTCGTCTTTCTGTGCTAAGGAACGACTGCGTAGCTATGGCAGTCGCAACGAGATGGTCCACACCGTTCAAGCCATTGCGGCCAAGGTCGCGGCCGGGACGCTAGCGGTCGACGCGATCGACGAAGCCATCGTGAGCGAGCACTTGCTCACCAAGTACGACGCCTTCAGCTTGTACGTGACTAACAACTCATCGGACGCTAGGAACGTGCCGGATCCGGACTTGCTCATCCGCACGTCGGGCGAGTGCCGGTTGAGCAACTTTTTGCTCTATCAAATCGCCTACTCGGAGCTCATTTTTCTCGACAAAATGTGGCCCGAGCTCACGTACGACGATTTTCTCCACATGATGCGCACGTTCAACTTGCGGAAACGCCGGTTTGGCAAATGATAATCTACCGTAATTTCGACCTCTTCTATGTCGTCAGTTTTGCATGATCCGACAGGACAATGCCCGAGCGCGACGGTCGATGATGCCAGGGTGTGTGGTGAACGTCCTGTGCCATATTGCCTTGGGACCACCTCGTGCTGGCTTGCGCCATCCATGCGCCTCGCCCTCGCGACGGCCAAGCCTCGCCGCTGCCGTCAGTCTTGAAGTCGAAAGTCGACCTCCAAACACAGTTCAGCGTACGTTCTATCGTAATCACTCACTTAACAACAACTACGCTGTGGACACAAGTGCAGTGTCAGACGGTGCATGAGCCACCACGGGTCGTACTTTGTGGAATAGTCACCCATACCTAATCACCTGTCTATCCCGCAAATGAAACGCCGTGCGCCATCGCGGCAACTGGCGCTGTTGGACTCGATATTCTGATGCGGACAGCAGTGGACATGGGTGATGAACTCGGTGCCAACTTCTGCATTTCATATTTTCATGCCGGCACACAACGCGGACAATGAGAGCGCTGCGGTCGCCGTGCCCGTGCCCCTAGCCGTCCTCGTCCCGTCGTCGAGTACTACTGAAGAGGAGACCGACCTCTCCTACATTGTCGACATGGAGCTCAAGCACACCAAGTTCCTCGTCTCGTCGTGGACACATTGCAACGTTGTGCTCACGACGCAGACGCTCGAAGTCCTCGAGAACGACAAGCTCCACTTTGCTTGCAGCACGACCCACTGCACGACGCGCGTGCTGTCAGCGCTCGACGCCAAGCGACAGTTTCCGCTAGAGCTCCTCGAACACGGCAAGACCAAAGCGGTCTTGAACGCGCCGTCGGCGTCGGCCCGCGACGCGCTCCTCGGGCGCCTTGACGCGGCGGCCAATGGCATCAGCTGGCCGTCGACGTCGGACGCATGGACCAACTTTATCTCGGTCGCCCACCGCATTAACGAGACCAAGACCACGTACGCCTCGCGTTTGCCCAAGTGCAATGTGAGCGTGGCGCTCGTCCAGCGCCACTTTCGAGACATGATTGACGTCTACAATGTCACGGGCAGCTTCACGACCATCGACGATGTGTACAGCTACTTTCTCGACCACGAACGGCAGTACGTCGCTGATGGTGCGCCCACCTTTGCGAAAACCGTGCACCAGCTGCACCCGATCAGCTACGCCGAAGGCGCCAAGCCCAACGAGCCAGTTCGACCGCTGAGCGACCTTGTCACGGTGTGTGCGCACCGCAGCTGCCAGGCGCCATTGCCGGTGCACGTGTCGTTCGAGATGCACATTTTGCAGCTGCCCACAGTCACGTGCCCAACGTGTTCGCGGCCGCTCTTTTACGAGACGTACAAGATTGCGGCATTCCTGGATCTCTACCCGAGCATCCTGGCGCAGTTTCCCACCATTATCAACGCCGGTGCGACGGCTGTGCTCTTTGATCCGCCCGAGATGCCAGAGAATGGCCGCTACGAGTCGTTTTATACAGCATTCCTTACCACATTGACAAGCTGCAAGAATACGGCGGCGCAGTCGCAAGTTCTTACGGCGCTCCGTCGAGCGAGCAAGACTCTCCTCCAGGCACCGATCGGCGCCTATACGATCGACTTGGTGCAAGGCATGTTCCGGCAGCTCGATTTCGTCAACAAAATGGTGCCCCACACCGAGTACTGGATGCACCCAGACGTCATTGAAGCCTCGATCGTCCGCTACGAGCAGTTTATGTACCTCATGGGGAAGCGTGAGGCCGACTCCCTCGGTCATTACCCGGTGCTGGTACCGACGTCGGACATTGACCTCGTCTGGCACGCGCACCAGACCACCGGTCGGCCGTACCGCGACTACTCGCGCAGCGTCAACAAGGCCAAGTGCGTGATTGACCACGACGACACGATTCCCGGCGGCGACCTCGCGACGGGGTATGCTGACACGTTTGTGCTCTGGTCGCAGACGTTCGGCGAAGCGTACTCGAGCTTCCCACCGAGCTACGAAGCGTGGACTTCCAAGGTTCAAGACCCGATCTCACGACTCGTGTTGCGCAAAAAGTGGGCCAAGCACGGCAGCGTGCCGGCCAAAGACAGCCGCTTCTTCGGTGTCAACGAAGCGTACGCTGTGCGCGCATTCCCATACGCGACCGTCGTCGCTGAAGCCAACGCGGTCCGGCCCGAGAGTGGCGTCACCGAGCCCATCCCGATCTACGTCACCGTCATCGGCACGCCGGTCATGGACGGCCGCGTGCGCATGCCGTACTCACGCCAGACGCTGCTCATGTTTGACGGCGGGCTGCCGTTCTACTACCTCCCGTACGTCTACAATGGCGGCTGCGCCGGTTCCGGCTACTTTGGTGCCTCGGGCGGCTGCGGCGCCACGGGTGACACAAGCGCTGCTGCCAATGGCGCCGTCAGTGGACTTGGTGGCTGTGGCGGTGGCGGCTGTGGCGGAGGCGGCTGTGGTGGTGGCTAGACATAGCACGTAGGATTTAAGTGAGCTACGTACTACTAGTCGCACAATGGCTCACACCCTTTTGCATCGTTTGGACTCGGTGGGTGCTAAATTTATGTGCTTGCGTCGCTCGCTACGATGTCGATGCCCAAGTCGCAGGTTCCTCGTACGTATAATGTATGTACAAGTCGTCAATACAGCAGTGTTTTTGTGTTTATCTCTGTGGTTCATGTAGAAATGCATTAGTGACGTATCGACTTGATGTCGACTTAAACGTTCTTCTTGACTTCCATGCCGCGTGCGACGCCCTTCTCTTCGTCCTGCTGGCTCGCAAACGCATTGAAGATTTGCTCGAGCGACGTCTGGCACACCGAGTACTCCTTGAGCGCGACATCGACCTTGTGCGCCTCCATTTTCGCAAAGACGTCCGAGAGCTTGAGCTTGGCGTCCACGCTGTCGTGCAGTTTGAAGCGGCAGTGCTCGTTCTGGCGCTCGAGGAGCTCGACGCGCGCAAACGTCGACCGGAGAAAGCTGTCGTAGGCCACAAACTGGTTCTCGCCGACCCACCACGCGCAAAAGAGCGAGAGCGACACGTTGCTGTCGCGCTCGAGGACTGCGTCCAGCGCATACCCCGTCGAGTGCGACTTTGCGATCCAGCCCGCGCGATCAGATTGTCCCAAGTCACCGCAGAGCTTGGTGATCTACGCAGCCGCATGTCAGCATGACAGATCTTATTGCACTTGTATACCTGGTCCCGGCTCAGATGCGTCTCGAGATCCTTTGCCGCCTGGCACACGGGCTGGACCGAGCGCGCAAAGAAATCGCCGAGCTGGACTGGCGACGGCACGTTGAGCTTGGAGTCGATCATGAGGCCGTCGCCAAAGCGCGATTTGAGGTGCTGCACACTGCCGAGGCAGCGGAGACGGCCGCCGACCATGATGCCGACGCGCGTGCATAGCGCTTCGCACTCTTCCATCGAGTGCGTCGTGAGCACGATCGTCGACTCCTTGTTGGCGGTCGAGACGTCCGCAATGATGTCCCACATGAACCTACGCGCATGTTCGCATGCCATTCGCGGTGGAGAGAGGAACGTACCGGCGCGAAACCGGGTCCATGCCGGTCGACGGTTCGTCAAGGAAGATGATGGGTGGTGACCCGATCATCGCGATCGCCACCGACAGCTTGCGCTTGTTGCCGCCACTGAGCGTGCCCGCGAGCTTGTGCTCAAAGCTCTGGAGGTTCATTTGTGTCAACTTCTCCTTGACAACGCCTGCAATATCCGCCGATGGCACGCCCTTGATCTTGGCAAAGAGCTCCAAATGCTCGCGCACCGAGAGAAGCTCAATGAGTGCATCAAACTGCGGGCAGTAGCCAATTAGCCGCCGGAGCTCGAGCTGCTGCGTGAGAATGTCAAAGCCGCCGAGCGTCGCGGCGCCCCCCGTGGGTAAAATGTCGCCCGTGAGCATTTTCATCGTGGTCGTTTTGCCCGCCCCGTTGATCTACAAGGTATCAATCTATCAGCAAAAAGTCATCTCAAACGTGCAACGACGTACCCCAAGGTACCCAAAGCACTCGCCTTTTGGCAGTGCAAACGAGAGGTTCCGGACCGCGACTTTGTTGCCCGTGTACACCTTCTTGAGCCGCTTGATGACAATCATGTCCTTATCGGCAAGGCCGTCGAGCACGCGCTTGGCCTCTGCGGCCACGTCCTCGTCGTCGACGTGATCGTCCTTGACGTCGAGCTGCGGGTCGCGCGAGAAGATGGCCTTGATCCGTGGAAAGCTCAAGAGCACATCGATGCCCAGGGCAAGGCCAAAGAAGACTACCGACTCGAGCGCCAAGTAGATAATCTCGGTGCCCGCAATGTCCCAGTCGTAGGCGCTGACGACAGTCTTGGAGTTGGTGATGGCGCCGACGAGCGACTTGAGACTCATCGTGAGCAGTCCGTTGCCGAGGTTGAAGAGCGGCGAGAGGCGCCAAATGTACTTGAGGTACACGTTCGCATCCTTCGCCGACTCGGAAATGACGTCCAAGACAAACGAGACGATCATGAGGATGAGGCCGAGCACCATGTTGATGATGAGCGTGTAAAATTGCGCTGACGCGGCTTCCTTGAAGCAGTACGACATGCAGTACGTAAAGGGCGCGATCGCAAAGCCAAAGAAGAAGAAGAGGAGGAAGACTGCTTGGGGCGTGTTGGTCGCGCACGCCGCACAGTCGTCGCCCGTGAGCGACTGGATCCCGTAGGCTTTGATCATGATGAGCGCGGCGGCGAATGGGACGATGTACACGAGCAGGTCAAAGCAGTAGTTGGAGAGCCAGAAGGCCGGCAGGCTCACGCCCGAGACGAGCTGCTGGTGCTTCGAGTTGCACTCATTTTGCTTTTCTTTGACGAGGAACGTGACGATGGACGCAGGAAAGAACGTCATCGCAATCACGATGAAGAGACACGCCGTGAACGACAAGAACGAGCTGAAGAGCGCTTTCGTTTGCGCCGTGATCGGGAACGGGTACACGTTGACCTACCGCCTATGATGAGACACGGTGGAGACGATGACGCGCGTACCTTCACGGAAATGTCATTGCGCCCGTTGACGTAGCGCACGAGCGCTTCGTCGATCGCGGCGTGGTACACGGGCGCGGCGTGGATCGACGTTGTGTTGACAAAGAGCGAGTAGCTCATCATGTTGCTCGTGCTGTTGCCGTACAGAACGTAGCCGCCGTACTGTCCACCAATCTTGGTCGCGTAACCGCGCTTGTAGAGGTGCTCGGCCGTGAGCACGCACGTCTCGACGGCCGGACCAAAGAGCTGTGCGGCCTGCGGCAAACTCGGCCCGTAGGAATAGTTGAAGACGGTCACAGAGCTGTCGACGACAGTAAGATCGCTAGTGGTCATGGCAGTGGGCACACCGCGCGCCGCGGCCTTGGCCCAATCGGTGCACATACCGCCGACGTCGCTGTTGCACAAGTAGGGCAGCGGGGTCTGCGCGCCGAGCGCGTAGCCCACCTTGGTCTCGGCAAGATCCAGGCGGAGTCGCGGGTCGTTTTCGAGGAGCGAGCTCGAGTAGAGCAAGCCAAAACCAATGAGAATGAGGAGGCACGGGAGAAGCGTGCTAAAGATCATGACGCGCTTGTCCCGCTTGGCGACGCGGAACCGTTTTTGGAGCAATGCGAAAAAATGCTTGACAAACATAGTCCAGCGCGAGAGCGAGTGCTTCTGGATCGAGTAGCTGCTTGTCTTTGCGGTCGCCTTCTCCTTGGAGAGCGTGTGCTGGCCGTCGTCGTCGCCCATTTCAGCGACTTTGATGAAGACTTCTTCGAGCGTCGTGACCGAAATGCCAAACGACGCGACGCGCAGCGACGCCCGCGTCTCGGCCGACTCGAGCGCACGAAACATTTCTGGGAAGACTGGCGAGCTGTCAATCGGCAGTTGAAAGCCAATCTCCGACCCGACGTTGGAGAGGAGCTTGGCCGTGGGCACATGCTGCTGGATAAACGCTGTGAGCGCATGGCTCTTGTCCTCGTCGCTACGCAAACGTGTCGGTCGCCGTTCGACATGGCTACGTGCAGATGACGCACCCATTCACGGTTGGCTCCTTGACGATCGTGAGGTTGTAACCAGCTCCAAACCGATTCTTGAGGAAGAGCGACGACCCGCAGCACTTGACTTGACCTTCGGCCATGATTGCGATGCGGTCGCCGAGGATGTCGGCTTCGTCCATAAAGTGCGTCGTGAGCACGATCACGCGGTTGATCCGGTTGTTGAGAATGAGTTCCCTATACATAGCGTGGGCGAAACTCGTCCTCATTTTTCATGCGACTATATACCACGTGGACCGGCGCGAGTACGGGTCCATGCCGGACGTCGGTTCGTCGAGGAAGACGAGGCGGCTGTCGCCGAGGAGTGCGATCGCGATCGAGAGCTTGCGCTTCATACCACCCGAGAGCGCCGTCGAAAAGACATGGCGCTTCTCCGTGAGACCGACTTCCTTGATTTTTTCTAGTATCAAACTATCAAGAGCGAATTCGAGAAATGGACAATGTACCATCGACCGCTTCGTTGAGGTCGCGCCCCGTGTAGCCCTTGACGCTGCCGTAAAAGACCAAGTGCTCGCGGACTGTCAAGTCGGGGTAGAGGACGTCGTGCTGGGGACACATGCCGAGCGACTTGCGGATCTCGCTCATCTGCGTCGTGAGGCGGTGGCCGTTGAAGAACGCGTCGCCTTCGGTCGTCGGGATCATGCCCGTGAGGATCGAGATGAGCGTCGTCTACACAAGGTGAGTCCTCACCCTGGATAGACAATATTCTCCAACCTTGCCGGCGCCGTTGTGCCCCAGAAGACACGTGATTTGGTCCTTGTACATGACGAGGTCGACGCCTTTCACCGCAATCTTCTTGCCACCGGGCACGGAAAACACCTTGCGAATGCCTTGGATCACAAGCGCTTCGCCGTTCGACTCTTGTTTCTACCATAGCGCCGTTGATACTCTGATACTTTGATACAGTGCAAAACGGAAATATGGACCTCGAGCTCGGTGCCGACGGTCTCAATGTTGTCGTTCTTGACGGACGGATCCAGGACTTTCATTTCACCGACTTTGGCAGGACCCCGCGCACTGCCCGCGCCGCACCAGTAGCTTGGTGAAAATGGAAAATACCACTTCTGGGGCGTGCCATAGTCCTTCGGCACGACTTGCTCGAGGTACATGGCCAACAGCGCATACAAAAAGAAATCGAGCACGAGCATACCCAGACCGCCTTGAAAGCGGTAGTTGGAGTAGACGGTGTTGGCCGTGCTGTGCGTGATGCCCACCGAGACGCCTTCGGACGCTGCGAGCGTCTTCATACAAACAATGAGTTTTTATCGCCGACGATTGCATGGTACCTGAATGCACATGGCGAGAGCGACAGGCGAGAGGAGCGATGCGAGCATCTTGCCGCCTTCGCTGGCGCTCGTCAAGCCCGCCGAGACAAAGTACATGACAAAGAAGAGCGAGACGCCGACGAGCGACCCGGTGCGCGCATTCGAAAAGAAGGTCGAGACAAGGAAGCCGTACGCCCAGATCGTCATCGAGAAGAGGAAGAAGAAGATCCAGAGAAGACCGCCGTCCGTATTGGGAAAGAGCATCGTCGCCGCGAGCGATTGCAAAATCGACGCGACGAGGAAGATGACAAGGTACGTGACGAACCACGAAAACACGATCGACGTCTCGCTCACGCCCAAAATCTTCATCAGTTCGCGCGCCTTCGTTTCCTTTTCCTGGATAAGCACCACGAGCACCTAGAATCGCGACTTCAAACCCACGTCTCGATGGCATTTTGCAAGTACCTTGGAGACGGCGTAGAGGTACGCCAGAATAAAGACGAGCGGGAAGACGTTGCCGACCAAGTCGTAGAACGGCGCCGAGATGTAGCTCGGGATTGGAAATGGGTACGTTGTCGCGGCCAAGAGCGCTTGCGGCGCTTGCAATAGCGGAATGGCGAGCTGCCCCCACGCAATAAGCGGAATCTGCTCGGCAAATGCCGTGACGTTCGGGGATCCGAGCTGCGACTGGATCGTAGCGTCTGAAATCATGTTTTTCATAGCCCCGAGCACAGCTGCGTCCGCAAAGAGCTGCTCGCCGAGCGCAGTTGCTTGCGAGAGCGGCGCCGACGACTTGGTCGTTGTGCACGCGCCGACTGCGCCGTTGGCATACGACGGCGCACACGCCAAGAACTTGGTCACGAGCGTCTGGAGCGTCGCAAAGCCGGCTTTGGTATACGACGTGTACCACGTGCGATCAATGTCCTTCTGGAGCGGGTTCACGGCCGGGTACGCTTGGCCATTGGTATGGGGCAAAACGCCCGCGGACCCACCGCGGCCCTGCGTCGAGTTCATGCGGAGCGTGTACTCGACCGACCCGACACTGCCGGGCGCCGGCATCGAATCAAACACAATTGCAGCGTATAGGAATGGATTCTGGCGCGACGAGCCATAGTCCGAGCCTAGTTACGAGTTAGTATCAATGTATCGAGATGCAGAAACCATACCGGAAATATACGATTGGAGCGCATCGGCCGTGTCAAAGTACATGACCGAGTCGGCAAACGACGGGACGGTGAGTGCGTCCTTGAAGCCGGGGACGGTGCGGTTCATGAGCGCGACACGAGGGTACCACTGCGCCATGAGCCCGCCAAAGTACTTGGTCGTATACTCGTTCTTTGGCGCAATCGCAATTTTGCGCGGAATCAAACCGGCTACGCTCATGTTGTGAGCGACCTGTTGCATCGTACTCTCACGTTTGTACCCGGGCAACTCGTGGGCACAGCGAACGGGGACGCCGGGTCGACGTTGACATAGCCCATGTAAGTGAACGGGACCTTGCACGACGCCGGCGACGCACTGCGATCGTCCACGCCCAGCTTGTCGTACGACATGGACGATAGCCTATGGGTAGAGTGTCGAGATGCAGTGGTAGAATATGTATGTATACCCAAGGAGGAGCCCAGTCATGGACGGCTCGGACGCGATAAAGACGCCGGCCGGACTGGACGCGGCGCCAAACGCCGACGTCGCGTAGGGGTTGACCATGGTCACGGGCACGGCGTTCGTGCTGAGCGGCCAGCCGCTTGGAATGGTTTCGTTGTCCGTGAGTGTCTTGAAGTAGGCAAAGAGGAGCACGAAGAGCGTCGGGACTGCAATTTCGATGAGCGTCGTGACCCAATGACGCTGCTTGATGATACGGTTCTTCCAGAGCAACGTCGAGATGTGGTGCAGCATGCTGCGCTTCTTCTTCATAGCTGGTACGGACCTTGGCCTTTCTGCGGTTGTACTGTCCTTGAGTGCGTCAAACGACAAGTGAGCTTTGGCATGAAACCCGAAACCCGAGCTTAATTGGGCGTCCGAAACGACTTTTGATTGCAGCCATGGAGTCGCACCGAATACAACTTTCAACGACCGATCAAGCACGTGATTGGGCGGCGGAGGAACGGCGCTGCGATTGCTGTCGGTGGCACAGATCGAAATCACACAAGAGATTGTATAGATGCAGATCTAGCGACTTTTCGATCTGGACACGAGCGTAGGACTTGTGGGAACTGCAGAAGCTATGAGCCATCGTTCGGTGTGGGCTTTGTTGACTGAGGGATGGCAACGTTTCCGACTTCGTTCGAATTCGAGTTGGCCGTTGAAAGACGGGACCAGTAAAGGTGCGAGGGTTTACTGCACAGATACGAGCTCGATTTTTTCTGCAAATCGACTTGGCACAAGCTATGAAAAGGCCGGCAGGAGCTACTACGACAACATTACCTTGTTGATGCAAACGACGTACCCGGGCAGATGGATCTTTGGCGGATACGCAGCAAGAGACACACCTCGGATTGGTCGTCGCCCAAAATAGCGCTTGATGGCCACCAGGATAGATGGCGCGGGTCACGTCGCTTCAAACACGAGTCCGTGGAGCCACCGAGACGACTCGCTCTTCTAGTCATGCGTTGCGCAGCTAGAGCGTACTAGAACCACATTCTGGAATGTCCTTTGTGTCTTTGCAGTAATTGTGTAAATCCTATGTTGTCAATCCACTACTACGATCTTATTGGCCGCGGTCGATGGTTTCTGGGCCTCGGATGTTGCTGTTGTATCTTGAACGACGTGTTGTCATGCTGCCACGTCATGGGTGCCGGTTACGCACGTATCCGGTTAGGCATGAGCATCCGAACCGGTTCAAGTGGCCGGTTAAGTACGAAATCTCGGATCCCGGAGTCCGCATATACTTTGTGGGGCGGACGGTGACGATGAGCAGCAGCAGCACCCCCGAGAGCGCGGAGCGCGACGCGGTGCTCCAGGCCTACCGCGCCAAGGTGCTCGAGCACCGCGAGGTTGAGGGCCGCGTGAAGAGCATGCGCGAGAACGTCAAGACGCTCGTGCGCGAGTTCCACAAGACCGAGGACGACCTCAAGGCGCTTCAGAGCGTGGGCATGATCATCGGCGAAGTGCTTCGCCAGCTCGACGAAGACCGCTTCATCGTCAAGGCCAGCAGCGGCCCGCGCTACGTGGTCGGCTGCCGCACCAAGGTCGACAAGACCAAGCTCAAGAGCGGGACGCGCGTCGCGCTCGACATGACGACGCTCACGATCATGCGCTACTTGCCGCGCGAGGTCGACCCGACCGTGTACCACATGCTCAACGAAGACGCGGGCAACGTCTCGTTCTCGAGCATTGGCGGCCTCAACGAACAAATCCGCGAGCTCCGCGAAGTCGTCGAGCTGCCGCTCACGAACCCAGAGCTCTTTCTCCGCGTCGGCATCAAGCCGCCGAAAGGCGTTCTTCTCTACGGCCCGCCGGGCACGGGCAAGACGCTCCTCGCGCGCGCGCTCGCGTGCAACATCAACGCAACGTTTCTCAAGGTCGTCGCCAGTGCGATCGTGGACAAGTACATTGGCGAGTCGGCGCGCGTGATCCGAGAGATGTTTGGGTACGCGCGCGACCACCAGCCGTGCGTCATCTTTATGGACGAGATCGATGCGATCGGCGGGAGCCGCTTCTCGGAGGGCACGTCGGCCGACCGCGAAATCCAGCGCACGCTCATGGAGGTCTGTTCGTCAATACAGGGGATGATGGGCTCATCATATGCGTCCATGTGGCGTGCTAGTTGCTCAACCAGCTCGACGGCTTTGACTCGCTCGGCCAGGTCAAGATGGTCATGGCGACAAACCGACCCGACATTCTCGACCCGGCACTCCTCCGCCCGGTATGCCATAGTGCTCTTGCATCCAGCGCCAAGATGCTCATCCTCATCGTCATCCTCATGTAGGGCCGCTTGGATCGCAAGATTGAGATCCCGCTCCCGAACGAAGCGTCGCGCATGGACATTCTCAAGATTCACTCGGCGCCCATCACAAAAAAGGGCGACATTGGTACGAAGCCTTGGTCTTGACCACGGGTCTCATGAGAGCGCGTAGACTACGAGTCGATCGTCAAGCTCACGGACGGCTTCAACGGCGCCGACATCCGCAACGTGTGCACAGAAGCCGGCGTCTTTGCGATCCGCGCCGACCGCGAGTACGTCGTTGAGGAAGACTTCATGAAGGCCGCACGGAAGCTCGCCGAGACCAAGAAGCTCGAGAGCAAGATGGACTACAGCAAGGTCTAATCGTACACTGTGCATCCACCAGTCTCGTAACACGAAACACGATAAGAAATGCAACAACATGTTGGGTGCTCATGAGCGGATCCGTGCAGCCCATCGTCTTCCCACGCCTCGGATCGACGCGACGAGGCTTCGACACTCGCATGGCGCCGGCAGACTCAATGCACAAATGAACCGCTTGCACACGGTTGGTTCCTGGTGGTAGCAGCATTTGCAGGCGCAAGGACGCCGTCGCATGGTCGATGACAGATGTACACCGTACGAGGTGCCATGGCCGGCGGTCGAAGCAACGAAAAGACCGGTCGCGCCTGCTCGCTCAGAAGCATGTCGACCATTGTCAGTGCAGCCTCGTGTCGCCTCCAAATGGCTTGGATCGTCGCACGCTGGTCAACGGCCAAGCCGTCGGGAGGAATGCGTCGTCATCGGATCAGAAAAGCCAACCAGATTCGCTGGCCGTGGAACCCGCATCTCGCCACGCCCATTCGCCCGTGAACGACGATCGTCATTAGCTACTTCCTCCCATATCGGCAGCCACAAGCGTCCTCGCCATCGCTCACTCGGCTGGTCGACTTGGGACTGCCGGCGCCTGCCACCCACTGCCAAGCCAGGACGCCTGCCAGCACACGCCGTGTCATCGACCCAATTCGATTCGAAATATGGTCGACCAATCACCGCCAAGCTTCGATGAAATATAAAGATTTCCATACTGTCTCATTTGCAAGTGTTATTATCCAATCTGTCTCTAACACCAGGCTGTCGAGTGCTGCCAACCCATGAGAGCTGTCGACGCATCTAGGGTTGACGCAAGCGGTAGCACATCGCCTTCGTCTACTCTGGCGACGTCGGCTGTTTGCCCCGACACGTCTATCGAGCCGATGGACAGGCCACGAGACAGCCAAGTGCGCAGGAGAGTGGCAGGTGCATGCAACTGTCCCCGTAAACGTTGCCACCCACGTCAACACGGTAGGCTAGCGTAGATGTCGACGTATATATTTTAGTGCAGACAGCTCGCACGCCCACTGCGGCAGCGAGCAGCTAGCTACTAGTGGTGGCAGCGGCGAGTCGATCCCAGTGCAAGCGAGACAGTATTGAGAAAAAATGAAAATGCGAAATATTGCTCACGCGCAGCATACAAAGACCAAGATAACAAAAATGAGATGACCGAGTCGCTTGCACTTGTTTTCCAGCACTTGGTCAAATCGAACAACAGATCGTAACGACCATGATGAAGCGCAAGGTGGTCGACAGTGCGCAAGGGCCCTCGGGCAGCAAGGCCAAGAAGGCGCGACCATCCTCTGTCCTTCCATCGACCTGCGCGTCGGACGCGGCCTTCTTCATGCACCACAGGCCCGAGCTCCTCGACGGCTTGAACCTCGACCTCTTGGACAACATGGTGTACGCACCGCCAACAGCAACGAAGAAGACCAAAGTGCTCATCTGGGACCTTGACGAGACGTTGCTGCTCTTTAGCTCGCTCTGCAATGGCACGTACGCCAAGCGCGCCGGACGCATTGCCGACGCGAGCATGGCCCTCGGCGAAAGCATGATGTGCTTTGTCTTTACCATCCTCGAGAAACACCTCTTCTTTGACGAGCTGGAAAAGGTAGCTTGCATGGCTCGGATGGCGTTGCTGAGCCTTTGTGTAGGAAGACATTGAACACGTGAGCCTCATGACGCGCTACGACGACGGCGTGTGCCTGGACGACTATGACTTCAACAGCGACGCGATGACGCAGGACGCAGTGGGCAGCGCCGATCGGCTCCGCAAGCTCGCGTACCGCTACCGGCGCATTCGGCAGATCTACGAGCGCCTCGAGTCGGTCGCGTTCTTGACGGCCGGGACGCCCGAGGCCGACTTTTGCGCCGACCTCCGCGACTCGATCGATGCGTTTGGCGACAACTGGGGGGCAACAGCGCAGCGCGCGCTGCAAGCGGCCACGGCGCGCGGCTACAAGAACATTGTCGTGACCAACTCGCAGCTCGTGCCGGCCCTCTGCAAGTGCCTCATCTACGACCTGGACAAGTGGTTTCCGCCCGACATGATTTACTCGTCGTCCCACGTTCGAAAGAAGCATTGCTTTGAGACGATTCAGGCGCAGTACGGCCACGAGGACCACGAGTTTATCGGGATTGGGGATGGCCCCGAGGAGGAGTCGGCCAGCAGTGCCTGCGCCATGCCCTTTGTCAAGGTACGAGCAGCATTTGATCTGCGTTCTTAGCGCACATTCTTATTGCTTGCAGATTGCCAGCATCCACGACTTGATCGACCTCGCCGAGATGCTCGAGGCCGATACGCTGCCAACCGGCTTATAGACGACATTGCATCCTCTTATTTTATTATATACACATGCCTGTGCTCCATTGTCTTTGGTGGAGGAGAGGATGATGCTCAGAGAGGCAGACGACCACACTCGGCGATGATGCAGGACGTGATCGGACGCTCGTTGACGGTTTGCAGCCGCCCAACCGCATGGACAGTCTGCAGACCACTGACGACGCGCCCAAAGGCAACTAGCGCATTGTTGGTCGAAGAAGGCTATTCGGAGCGCACCTTTGTTCTTGTCGAGCCACGGTAGCGGTGCAAGCGTGATGAAGAACTGGGCGCCGTTCGTGTGGGGGCCAGTGTTGGCCATCGACTAGTAGTACATTTTGAGATTGCATTTGAGATTGCACTTTGAGATTGCGCTTTGAGGTTGCACTTTGCGAGTACGTACGAGAATGCCGGGCTGGTCGTGCGAGATGCAAAAGGTCTCGTCTTCAAAGACACCGTCGGCAGCAACGACGCAGCCGCCACGCCCGTCGCCTCGGCCGTCGCGCTCGACGTCGCCCGACTGAATCCAGCCGCCAGCAACGATACGGTGCACTGGCAGACCAGCGTAGCCTGAGTCGCAGAGCTTGGCAAAATTCTCGCATGCTTTCGGGCACGTGTCCGTGTAGAGCTCTACGACGACAGGCTCGTCGCGCGGCGTCACGGCGTGCTCGTCGACGACAAACTTCAGATAGCAAAACTCGTGCCCCGACCGCTCGCGGTACGTGCGCCATGCGTCGACGGCCAGCGCTTTGGCTTCTGGCTCTGGGAGCGTCTCGGGCAGGCCGTACTTGATGGCGCAAAACTCGGCGAAAGCTTCGGCCTCGCCAATGTAGGTGTTGCCTGTCGAGCTCGATGCGGCGGACGGCGACGGTGGCACAAATGCGATTGGCGCACTGGCCGGGTGCTGCGGAAACTCCTGGAAGAGGCCTTCCTTGTACAAGAAGGGCGCGTAGTCGACTTCGAGAAGGGCTTTGATCAAGAGCGAGACACCGTCCACATGCTCGCGCAAGGTGAGCGCGAGGTGGCGCATGCGCTGGAAAGCCGGGTCCGACAGGACGCCCGCAACCTCGATCACGACGCTCTCGTCGGCCATCGTTGCAAGATCTGACACCAGGCCATTGGCCGAAATCGAGTCTTTTTTGTGATTGGCGCACAAGATCGCGGCGGGACGTTTTTATTGGTGCGTTGATCGCGACGCTTCCCAACCGGCACACAATACCATGGCCTTTGTGCGCGACGCCGTCACCAAGGCGATCCTGCGCGCGCTGCGCAAGTACCTCGTCCACGTTGAGCAAGAGAGCGTATCGCTCGGTCTCTGGGCTGGCGACCTGACCCTCCAGGATGTGGTAGGCTCACCCCACCTTCTCCATAACTTTGCATTTCGTCATACTAGGAGCTCAAGACGACCGCCTTCAATTCGGCCGAGAGTCCCTTGACGCTCGTGCATGGTGCTATTCGCAGCATCCGTATTCAGGTACATACGCAATTCTGATGCGGACGAAGCGGTAGAAATGCACGTTAGGTCCCCTGGACTTCGTTTTGGCGCCAGCCCGTTCAAGTCAAAATCACCGGCGTCGAAGTCGAAGTCGAGTCCAAGACAAGCCACGACATACAAGCCGAGCTCGATGAAAAGAACCGCAAGGTTCAGGAGCTGCATGCCGACGGCGCAACGACCTCGTCTTGGTCGTCCTGGATGGTCGCGGGTCTCTCAAGCTCGCTCCTCGATCGGCTTCTCAAGAGCGTTGCCGTCACGTTCTATGACGTTCATGTGTTTTATGCTGGCCGCGGATTTCGCCTCGGCTTGACACTTGGCGCCTTCAGCCTCGTCGACCACGCGTCCAAAGCCGACAGCGATGAGCTTCTTAAAGCGGTGACGCTAAGCGACGTGGCCATCTACGTCGACGAAGACGCCAACGAGACAGCCTACCACCTCCTTTCGTCGTTCCACGTGCATTCGTCGTTGCACCAGCCCACCAAAATGTCACCAATTGCCGTCGAGACGCACGTCACAAAGCTGGAGCTGACGCTTCCGCCGTCATTCATCTCCTTATGGCGACAGCAAGCCGCGGCACTGCAGTGCTACGCCCATGGTCGACGGTGGCCCATTCGCTGGTATTATCTTTGAACTGATCAAGACTATGCGTATTAGACACAAGGTTGCGCGTTGGCGCCACTTGCACTGTAAATCCACCCGCAGTGTCGCCCGCGTGCGCTGGCAGTACGCCATCGACCAAGTGCTCTGCCTTTGTCGGCCCCGCGTGCACGTGCCGCCGTCGACCTTGATCATGGCCAGCTACGCGCATCTCTACGCCTCGTGGCTCCAACTCATGCAGGCGCGCAACACCAAAGCGCTGCGGCTCGTCGCTGTCTTGAATGTACTGGAGCTGCAGCTGGTACGTCGATGCGTCGCTTGTACATGTGTTCTTGAGTATTGCGACACAGACAACCCGGGAGATTTTCGAGTGCCAAGCGCAGGCTCAAGGTGCCCGTCAGAGCCAAAAACGTCCAAACGACCTGTCCATCGGAACGCCCTATCAAGTAAAGACTCGGTGGCGTGGAAATATGAGCCAATTGCGGTGCTAGGTGGCTTGGACGTGGGCCCTTGACGAGATCGTGCTTTCTGCTGCATGGAAACGCCTGACCGTATCCAACACGTGGCAGCGGGTGACAGCGACGGGCACCAGTGAGGTGTCGAGCCACTTGGGGCTCCTCACAACCGACATGGAGGTCGATGTCAACCGCGTCACTGGCTCTATCGTGCACAACGAAACCGTTGCACTCCTCGAGGTCCGACCAAGGACAGGTACGCCACTTCTCCGAATTCATTGGAGTCTATTCAATGTGGTAGATGTTGACACGATGCTGTCGCTCTCGTTGCAGGCGACGCCGACGTCGTCAATGATGCATGTCACGCTGACTTCTCTGGACGCGACATGCCACGAAACCTTGCCATCATGTCTGAGCACGCTCCAGCTGCTCGAGCCTGACCCACCTTTTGGTCCACAACCGTCCCAATCGGTCGCCGCGAGCGCATGGACCGTCACATGCTCTGTCCAGGTACAATTACGTGGCATGACATGTCCCATTCACGAAACCGTCTAGACGGGCACACTGCGCGTCATCCTGGCCACTCATATCGTCGAGGCGCACAGCACCGATTGGTATCTTCACATTAACGCCGCGACGCAAGAGTTTCATCATCGCGTCCAGTCTGCGTACGTACTATTGCGTCAGGGCGAAAAAGCATCGCCCGTCGTGGCGCTCGAGGCCGTTGAAATGTCCTACGCTGTCACGGGGCGCGATACCAGCGTCAACATCCAACTAGCCTCCGTGGGTGTCTACGTGACGCGCAGCTTGGTGCAGCTCGTGCAGCGCTATCCCTTCTTATGGGCCTCCACGGCGTCACCGGCACCGTTGCCACGCACGCGGGGCATTGTCAACGTCACGGTGACGCAAGGCGCGCTGCAAGTGCTCCTTCCGCTCTTCATGGGCTATGAGACGACGCCGATGACGGACGAGAAGGCTGGGTTGTTTGAAGAGGTGCCTGCCGAAAGCAAGCTGCTGCACGTGGCGTGGGACGCGCTGCACGGTGCTCTGTGGTCGGAAGGCAGCGACGCGCGGCACGAAGCCAGTCTCGACACACTCGCGCTGACACTTCTCGGACGCGACGTCTTCCGACTGGCACCATTGGCGCCAAGCACCACGGGCGTGTCCTGCACCGTCCACGACACGGTCGACGCACCGCGCCGCTGCAGTCTGCGCACGCAACGCCTCGAGGCGTCGTTCGAGCCCGAGATTCTCTGCGATGTCTTGGGCTATCTCAAAGTGTACTGCGATTTGCTTCCGGCAAGAGCCACGCCGCATCCAGGAACCGCTGCGAACGCCACCGAACTGGAGCTTGCGTGGCATCTGGAACAGTCGACCATTCGTCTCACGCAAGAGGGCGGCTGCCTCAGTACAATCACGCTTCTTGGCACCAACCTCCGACACCAATCAACGTTGGCGATGACGGTCGAGCGCTTCACCGTGCAAGACAGCACGGCGTACGGCAGTGTCCACCACTACTTTATCGTGCCCATGGAGGTACCTTGTTTCTTTGTATGCGTCAATCACGCCGTTGTGTGTCTCTAGTGCGCCTGCGCCGCTGACGTGACAGCGCCGATGCTCGACATGACGCGCTCCGAGACCGATCTCCACATTAGCATGCACGGCCTCCAGTTCACGTGTCTCTACCGCTTCTACCTCGAGTGCTGGAACTACGCGTTTGAGCCCACGGGCGCGTTGGCGGTGCTGCAACGTGCCGTTGAACTGCACTTCCCGTCCGACGCGTCGGCCGCTATACCACAGATCGCTCGGAGTTGCAAGAGCCTGCGCATGTCCCACGTGGCCCTTGTCTTTCCACGGAATAGCGAGTCGGACGACCGGCTCGCGCTCGTCATGGACGAGCTGCTCATGCAGCGGTCGTACGTGGATGTGCCGTGGACGTACGCGGCCGGGCTCCATGCACCGACGACGCTATGGCCTGCGCGGTCGACGGTCGGACACCTTCAACGCGACATACTTGAGATGCGGCAGTGCCGCGCCTACTGCGCCGACGCCGAAGAAGTCTGCGAGCGCTACTGGTCGTTTGCGTTTGGGACTCTCTCGGCGTCCACCCCGTCTGTTGCGACGTCCGAGGCAGCGCACGCCCCGCGCATTACCGCGCACGGAAGCGTGTTTCAGGCGCTCAATCCGGAGTTACGCTGGTCGCTCGTGAGCCTCGAACCCACGACCATTCACTTTGTGCGCGACACGAACGGAGCGGCGACACGGGATCTCTACGTCTTTTCGCCGTCGTTGCGACTCGAGATGGACGTGACCGAGTGGAGTATTCTCCTAAGTCTCTGGTTTGACAACATGGGCGAGTATGCCAAGTTCCCGCGCCCGTTTGTGCAGCACGCTGCGCCAACCACAGCGTACGACGTCGGGCCGCACCCATTTCACGCGCCGTTCAACACTGCCGCGCACTTGGACGCGATCGTTGACGCGCCGTCGTCGACGCCGTGGGAAGTCGGCGTGGTCTGTCCGCGCTGGGAGCTCCAGTTTGAGCTCAAGGACGATGCGCTTGGCCTTGTGCTGTCGCCATTGGTGGTGACCGTCACCGGCACCTACGAGTCGACGTTCTTGACGACGGCGGTGGTGGCTGGCAGCGTCCGCTTGACCAAGCTCGCAAATACTGCCGAGTCGCTGATCGCAATCACGTCGTTCGCACCGTTCACACCCGAGATACCCGACCGGCTTTGCCCGTTTTGGCTTGCAGAGAATGACAGTTGCCTCCGATCCCACGCCTTTCACTTGACGTCGATTCGGTTTCCTTATGGCTACACCATGCTCGGAATGGCACTCGATATCGTGGAGCTCCCGATCGTGAGCGACCCGACGAGTCTCACGTATACGCTCGAGTACTTTTCGACATTCTTCTATGACCCAGCATTCGGGTACCCCTGGCCCAGCACCGAGATGGCCGCGGACGCGAATGGAGACATTATTTGTGTCGGCGCCTTCTTGGCATCGGCAGAGGACGAGCTCGATGGCGTCGATGATGCCACTCCGAACCTTTGGTACTCGCTTCATGTGACCGCCGTGGCCGTGACAGCGCCCGTTACGGCAACGTCCAAGACGCTGGTCGTCACGACGGTGGCGGACGCGCACGTCAGTGTCCACCACACGTGGAATGCCTCGACGTCGAGCTTGCACGTACAGGTGAACGGCGTCGAGGCGTACTTTCTCGAGGCCGCGAAGCGCCGGACCGTCTTGACACCGATAGGGCTCGACTGGCACTATACATCGAGCCTGGATACGGCGCAGACGTCTCACGTCGTGGATGTCAAGCGTTACGACCCCATGTTTCCCGCGTCGCCCGAGCTCACCGTCTATGTCTACGGTCTTCCAAGCGACGTGGCGTTTGTGCAGGCTGTCGCGGACACATATGCGCACATGACGGACGCCTCGGACGACGCCAATGACAATGACAATGATGACAATGACGACCAGGACGAAACGCAAAGCGTTGGGTCGTCGACGACAACGCTGTTTGAGACCATCGAGTCGATCGCCGTCACGCTGCCGTCCCGAGTCTGCTTGATGCTGCTCGATGACGCGCTCCAGTTTCAAAAGCCGCTGTTGATGTTGTTTCTATCGGACGCGTCGCTCAACGCTCTGCGCTTTACAGACACGGACGACGCAACCGCGGTCGCGCTGGAAAAATCGCACTCGAAATTGATGGAGCCCACGTCCGGGCACATGCCGACGCTGTACCTCAAGCTCACGCTGAACATCGCCCTCGACGTCTTCAACAACATTGTGCGCGGGTGGGAGCCGCTCGTCGAGCGGTTCGAGCTCAAGGTCCTCGCCGAAGACGGTCCATGCCGCGGCGCCGGTCTCGTGGTCTCGAGCGCCGACTCGATTCAAGTCAACATCACCGAGTACTGTCTCAACTTGGCCCTCGAGCTCTGCCACGACACGACCCAGACGCCGTCGTCGACCTCTGGCGTCGTGAACCGGACGGGCCGCGTCGTGCGGTACTTTCAGCCGCAGCCCGACGCGCACCAGGTCACGTACCTCGGACCAGCGATGACGGGATCGCTGCACTCGCCTCCGATCGTGAGCGTCCTGTACGAAGACCACATGCTCGAGACAACCGTCGAAAACCAAAATTACTTGCGCGTGCTCTTTCTCAACTACGACGCGCCGCTCGAGCCGCTGCGTCACGCGCTCGCGTCCAATGCCGCGGCACTCACATATGACATGTCGCTCCAACTTCGCGGGTTTCGCTGGCTGCACCACGTCGACGTGAGCCAAAGCGGCACGTTTCTCTTTGATCTGATTCCGGACGACGACGACGTCGGCGCGCTCGTGGCCACAAGCCCATGGATCCGCGCCGCCTTGCGCTGCGTTGTCGGCATCACCAAGGTCCTCTCATACTCGTGTCGTACGCCTGCCTCTCAGACTTTGAATAGACGCGGTATGGCCAAACGGTTGCCCTCCAGAGCCAGTTTGAGCTCGTCAACGCCACGTCGTTTGTGCTCGGGATCCGCCTCGGCAACAGCAAACACCTGAAAGAGCCACTGGGTCGAGCGCAAGCCCACGCGACATCGCTACAGCCGTCGCAAGTCTATTATGTACCGTTGCAGCCGCTGTTTGAGTACGCTGACACATCGCGCGGCAAGCACATTGGATACCTCTACCTCATGCACGTACCCCATGGTACGACGGGGAGCGTCACGGCCATCGAAGGTGACAGCATCGACCTTCTCCACCTGGTACAAATGCCATTGTCATCCCATCGTAACGAAGAATATATGGGATCTAGATGACCGATACGAAGGCCTCGTACATCTACCCGTGCAGCGCCAAGGTGCACCTGTGCATTGAGGTTGCTGAGCGGTCACCTCTTGCCGAGCGGCGCAGTCGGTGGAGCTTCTTTGCCAAAGATGAGAGTAGCACCAGTGCAACACCAAAAACCGGTGCCAACCTCACACGCCTTGTGCTCCACGCACCCTTGACGCTCGAGAACGCGCTGTGCGTAAACATTGTGTGCTGCGTCTACCGCCTTGTCGTGCACCATGGCAAGGCGACCAAGGACATTGTGTGGGAAGGCTCGATCAAGGTGGGCGGCGTCGCTTACATTTACTCGTCGACCATGCAAGACGTACTCTACGGCAGTGTCCTACTCCCGGGTCTCCAGTGTGAAAGTACCAAACCCGTCACGTTACATGTCCCGCCACCGACGTCGTTGAAAGATCACCGCAAGGTGCCTCCTACACCAAGGGTGCAGAACACCTGGCCATCATGCGAGGTAGGTCGACGTGGTCCTCGAACTCAACGACAAGCGGTCCCGCAACACGACCCGGTCGCTCAAACTCAAGTACGAACGCTTGCTTGGAGCTTTTGCTGACCTTATATATCGTCGGAGTAGGATCGAGCACCTTGTGGGGGGCGGTGGGCAGCGAGCGATTGTACTGTATGCGCCCTACTGGCTCGTCAACTATACGCCGTACGCGCTCCAGTACAAGCAAGAGACACGGCATTATCAGGTGGCGGGCAGCGCGGGGGCGGAAGACCGGCGCCGAACCTTGGACGAGCGCTGGATGTGGAAAAGTCTGCTGCGAGACTTGCATTGCACGTCGTTTCTGACCGAGTCGGAGCAAGATGAGACGTGTATGCACGTGGAAACGGCGGCCACCGGCGAGCTCTGCGGCTGCCCGTCGCCGGCGTGCGCGGGTCGGCGCTCAGCCCGCTTTGCGACCATGTTTTCGTTTAGCTCGGCTGCGTTTGATGATGTCTCGGCGTTCGCCAACAGTCTTTGCATCAAGGTACGGGATTGTTGGCCAGACTTGATGGCGTGATGACAGATCCGCTTGATGTCTTACCACTGGCTAGTGCCCCAAATACACCTGGTCTAAGGGCTTCTCGCTCGAGGCGCTCGGCATCGACCAAGTCGTCGAGGTATGTCATCGTGACATACCCGACGGTTTCATGTAGACCGCTATTGTAGCTCAAAAATTCGTCGGGCGTGATTCCCGTCAGCGCCCGCGTCTCCTTAGGACCGGACGTGTTTTACCGCACCAAATGCGTCACCTTTACGCCTCGGTACCTCGTCTTCAACCAGCTACACGCCGCCCTCGCGCTCTACGATGCCCACGACAACCTCAACATGACGATGGCGCCGAATGACGCCCAGCCGTACCATCCGTCGTCCAAAGTCCCTGTCAAAAAACGAGCGCTTGTGAGTGCGCAGTACGTGCTCGCCAAACAAGCGCCACGGTACCGGTCAGGCAAGTTTGGCATTGCGACCACAGGTCCCTTGGACGTGACGGTCGCGAGTCTTGTTGACGCACCCGCGTCGCCCGCGTCACGCAAGGATGCCAAGCGTGGGTTTGCAGAGACAAAGGCCGCCGACGGTATGCCCTGCTTTTCCTACGACCTTTGCCATCGGACGCGTGAATGATAACGTGGCATGACGTAGGCCACACGATCACCGTGCGGCAACATAGCATGTCAATGGACGTTGTCCGCGTGCACTCGCGCTTTGTCGGCTCGACGGTCCTCACGGTCTTTCGTCCGTTGGCATCGTCGGCGGAAATCGGCTACCGCATTGAAAACCAAACCTCCAACCACCTGCTATTCTATCGCCAAGCGAGCGTCGAGGGGCCGCGAAACGCATGGCAGGTGCTTCGCCCGGGGGCCGCTGCGCTCTTTACGTGGCCCGAACCCATGGCGCCCCACCAGGTACGCTCTCGCGTGGTGCGTATGTCTACCTATGGATCGATGGAATAGCTGAGCGCGTCACTTCGCAACGACGACGCGCGCGCGGTGACCCGGCCCAAGCACTTTTTACTCTCGTCGCGCGGACCCAAAAAAGACGTGCGGTACATCGACACCCCAAAGACCTTTGGGCGCACGATCCTCGGCGAGCGTCGCGGTCTTGGTCTCGACGACGTCGACGCGATCGCACTGGATGTGCTCAATCTGCAAGTCGCCATCCCCAAGCCAACGCCACGGCTTTCCGAAGAGACGCCAGCCGCATTTGATAGTACCAAGGTCTCATCTGGGCTTCCGCACCTCAACTTTCCCACAACTTCGATGTTTCAGAAACCAAAACGCGCCGTGAGCTACGCGCGCATCGACGGTGACGGCATGACGCGCGTGCTTCGACTTCGTGAGAGCGCGACGCTTGACGACGAGCGCTCGTATTTTCTCAAAGAGGAAGTTCGCATGCAGCAGACGCTGCTGTCGATGCTCGCGCTGCAGCACACGCGGGCGTTTGCAGCGCTGCAAGCCCCGACGCTGCCACGACGCCGCAGCGTTGAGCTCGAGTCGGTCGAAGCTCCCCGGTCGTCGGCGCACCACCGGACACGATCAAGTCGGCGCAATAGCTTTAGCGGACTCGCCGAGCTCTCTGCGGCCTTGGACGCAGCGCCGAAAGAACCCTCTTCGATCTTCAATTCGACGACCCCCGAGCCGTCGACAGCGACATCGCGCTTTGCGTCGGCGGTCGCACCGCACCCGTCCATGGGCGCCGATCCCGACCCGTTCTTGCATCAACTGCATGCCCGCATTGCGTCGTTTATGTCGCGACCCATCTTTGAGACGGTCGACCAAGTACTGGTCACGGTTGTCTCGGCCATGGGCTTGCAGGCTTCGGTGGCATCCGAGATGTGCCACCCCTACGTCGCCTTGTCGATTAGCGCACCGGGCAGCAACAGTAAGCGCAAGACGGGGGCTCAAAAAACGTACTACATTGAGCGCTGCCACGAACCGAGCTGGTACGAGCAAACGTTTCTCTTCGATCTCGACGGGGCTGAGAATGCGTCGCTCGAATTGGACATCTTGTCGTACCACGCGTTATCGGCCCACCCCGTGCTCGGGACGGCAACGCTGCCTCTCCGAGATTTCGATGAAAGCAACACTGCGCTCACACTGCCGCTGCTCCAGCACCACGAGACAAAGAAGGCGACGGAGGTGACCGTCGGCAGCATTGACATTCACATAGCCGTGTGTCGCTCGACGCGCGGACTGCTGTCCCATTGGTACGAGCGGCTCAAGACGCAGACCCGATTGACGAGCGAGGGATTGGTGTACGTACGTTCGCGCCTCAACCGGATCGCAAAGGAGCGCATCCTCGAACACAAGCGCAAGCTGCATACGAGCGCCGAGGCCAAGCCCTCCAAGCAAGAAATGACCGAGAAGGCCAAGCAACTGCTGCTCAAGAAGAAGGACAAACTCGTGGCCCAGAAAAATCGGCTCAAAGTCAAGTGGCACGAACAGCTGCACAACTTGCAGCACCACCACATGAACGACACGCTCCAGACGCTCAAGGTCGCGGCCGAGACGCGCATTTTGCGCCGCCTGCACAAATCGACGAAACCGACGCCAATGGGCAGCCTCCAGCGGGTCAAACGGCTCTTCTCCAACAAAGACGGGGTACGCAGGACGCAGCGCTGCCGGTCGCTTAGAAATATCCTTAGGAGACGAACGCGTCGTCATCGCCAACGCATGCTGCCCGCGGTGCGCATCCGTCGCGCAACGTCAAGCAAGTTGACGCGGCATCGATTGATCACGTCACCGAGGTCAAATCGTACGTGCACTTTTTGTGAAACGGTCGGATCTGTCACGATGACATACCACGCGAGTGTAGGCAATTCGAGCGGCTCGTACGGCGCGGCGGCACACTTCGTGTGGTGATTCTTGAAGGCCGAGGGTTTGCTGGCAAAGGCGACCGCGTACGCTGCAAGCTCACGTCCGAAGGCGCTACGTTCAAGACCAACAAAATCAAGGGTGACGATACGATGCAGTGGCGCCAAAACTCGTTCGAGGTATTGCCCGTCGAGGCTTCCATCGGCTCATGACATGGTAGATGCAGTTACGACGACAGCGCGGCTCCGTCACCGTCACCGTGCTCAACGCGGGCACGGCCAGTGGCGAGGTGCTGCTTGGCATGCTCCACTTGTCGATTGAAGCGATCATCGAGTTTTGCGTGACCCGGGGTACGTCGATCACGGGGTGGTTCCCGTTGGTTCACCCCAAGGACACGACATCGCTGGAGAAAGACCTCGAACAGCTCGTGGGCACGGAGCGCATTGGTGGTGGCCTCGGCTACTCGATGCCGTCGACGACGAGTCCGTGCTTGCGGCTCCAGCTCCAGTATGAGCTCGCGCCCACCTCGTTTGTCGTGGGCACGATGCTGCGCTACGCCAGCATCCATCTGCGCGAAGTCGCCTTGTCGCTCTCGGCGCAGGTGTACCCGATCTTTTCTCTGGCCTCCGCGCCCCGCCTCGAGATGCAAGAAGTGCTCCGCGTCTCGTTTGATACAGTGGATGCGTATGCGCTGCAGTCGACCAAGCAGCGCCGCGTCGCGATCGACGTCGACGGCTTCCAGGTCGACAACCAACGCAGCTTTAGCCACCAAGTGGGCCTTCCTGTTGTCCTCTCGCGCGCAGCCATGACGCCCGACCCGCTCTTCCATGCGACGTGTGTGCAGCATGTACCCAAGGGAAAAGCCGTCGATGGTCTCGTACATCTCGAGTTTATTGCGCTGCAGCTCCAGGACATTGATTTGACGTTTGACGAAGCCATTTTGCGCACGCTCTATGACATTCTCGACCGCCTCTACGACAAGCACGCTGCGCATCTCTCGCCGCGTCCACCCTCGGCGCCGCGCAACGTGTACATTGCCCATCTGGAAGTGAGTCCGTTCCGCGCCAACATCACCTTTCGCAAGTCGTACACGGCAGAGAGCAGCGCGTATCTGCGCCAGCATTTCAAAAGCTCATTCACGCACTCGTTCGCGGCCGGTCTGGTCAACGTGGCCAAAAGCATCGAGAATGCGCCACTGCAATTTTCGAGCTTGCTCATTCGGCACGAAATCACCGACGCAGCACATGTAGGACGCGTTGAGAATACGGAGGAGAATGAGGCTTTGTGCGGTAGGTGCGCGACGTTGTGCTCGACCACTACACGACAAGCCTCTTGCGACAGCTGTACAAGCTCGTCGGTACGGCTGAACTTTACAGAGAAAACGTTGTTGACTTGTGCTGGATGGGCGTAGGCGCTATGAACTTTATGGGCAATCCCGTCGGGCTCGCCGCGAGCGTTCGCGATGGCCTCACCGACTTTGTCGTTGCACCGTACTTGGGCATGGCACGCTACGGGGCGCGGGGGCTCCTCGGGGGCATGACCCGGGGCACGCTCTCGCTGGTGGGGCACACGGCGTTTGGCGTGCTCGACACCACGTCCCGTCTCACGACTGCCATGGGCAACTCGGTCATGTCGCTCTCCCGCGATCGCGTGTACGCGGCCAAGCGCACCTTTTTTGCTTTGGCGCGTCCGTCGTCTCGGCGCGAGCAAGTACGTGCTCGCTTGTCTGAACCTCAATTTTTCATGTTGATCTAGCTCAAACTGAACGTCAACAAGCTCCAGCACGACATGACCGGTGGTCTCCTCGGCGGCCTAACCGGTCTTCTCGTCGACCCAATGCGTGGTGCGCAAAATGGACCGCGGGGGCTTTTCGTCGGCGTCGCCAACGGCCTCTCGGGCGTCGTTGTCAAGCCCGTCGTTGGCGCCATCGACCTCACGACGCACGTCCTCGAAGGCCTTCGGGACGTCGCGGGCTTGACATTTGATAGCAAGCAGATCACAGAAGAGCGTCGGCGGAAGCGCATCGCCCACACCTTTGGCGGCGACGGTCGGCTTTTACCCCACGACCCTGTCTGGAACTGGGCCAAGGTACGTTTCTCACAAGAAAAATGACCATTTTCAAAAGAGACAACTTGTCTACTTAGGCACTGCTCGTGTCGTTCGATCCGATCTCAACGACGGCGACTCCACGGGTTCACATCCAGGTTGGTGACGTTTTTGAGAAAGGCCAAGTGCTCTGGACGACTGCGTTCAAAAGCGCACCGGGCGAGTACCTCGTGGTCGTCGTCCGAAAAAGCGAATTGCTCGCGGCTACCGTCGCAGCAGCGCACTGGCAGCAGCCGACGCTGAAATGGCGACTCCCAAAAGACTATGTGCACGGCGTCGCGCTACACAAGTCGGGTGGTGTGACCCGTATCGTGCTCTACGTCCACAAGCCGCCAAGTGCAGAGACCCAAGTGCACATCGGCACGGTGCCCTGGGAAGACTCGCGCAACTTTGAAAACGACGAGCGCAAGCTCCTCGATTTGTTTACTTTTCTGAGCCGGTCGTACCACGTCGTGGGCGGGAAACCCGGGGCACCGGACGTGGTCTCGCCGCTCCAGAAATTTGCGTTCGAGCGCCTCCTCGGAACACAAGAGATGCTCAAGACGCAATACTGCTTGCACGCAGCTGATAAAGACGCGCTGGCGGCGACGCCATGGACCAGATCGGACGACGACGAAGCGAGACGGCCGCTGTGGAAGTCGCTCAAGCAGCACGAAGAGCGGGACGCGACCCAAGTCGACATCATGTAGCGTCCACGGACGCATCCTCAAGTGCGTCACCCCAAAGCACATGTATCAGGACACAGCCATAAATTATCTACACCACAAACGTGGCTCAAGTATCGAAGCGTCTTCAGTCGATGCCCCATTTCCCTATAACTTCGAGCTACAGCGGGAGACAGATCATGCTGGCGGATTCGTCATAACGTCAGCTAAAGCAAGTTAATCGTCGTCGTTAAACCCCGTATCAGGTTGGCCGTAAAAGCAGACTCGTGCTCCCAGAATGCCGCTAACTACAGTCACACGTAGCATATGCACAAGTTGTCATACGACTTCTGCATTACAAAAGCAACGTTATAAAGATGACTATGTCTGTGGCTCAAACGACGCATGCGTCTCGGCGTACTTGGCCAAGAGGTGGTCGCCACTCGTGATGGGCGGCAACGGCGTGCCGCGGTCGACGCAGGACGGCAAGCACGAGACGACGCACGTGAAATTGGGCTCGTAAAAAAACGGAACCGAGTAGCGTTCACGCCCCACGCGGTTGACCTACAAGCCGTCAGGCGCTGTGTCTAGGAGAGTAGCGTACGACACGATGGCGCGTCGACTTGAAGAGGCCGTTGGTCCACCGCTCTAGCAACATCGTCAGCAGCAGACAGCATTTGCATGCAAATCTACCGCCCAGATCGCCAATGTTGACAATGAAGCAGTCGGCGCGCGGCGGCACGGCCACCCAGCGCCCTTGCAGCTCAATCTCGAGACCCGATTGGTCGTCCGTCGAGAGGAGCGTGAGGAGACCATAGTCTGAGTGCGCGCCCGCGCCAAAGACACCGCCGTCCACGTCCGACTTGTGGTCGCTGTAGTGGAGCAAGCGCAGAGCCGCCATCGGGCTACATCGATATAATCGTTGACCAATCGATACAGCAGTGAGAATACCGATCAAACATGCCAGGCCCGTCAAACGCGCCGGGAGCACCGGCGGCCTCGGCGAAGAGCTGAGCAACGTGCCAGCCCAAGGCCGACATCGCGTCAAAGTACTTGGTCATTATTGGGCGAAAGCGCGGGTGCGTAGACGCGTCCGGGAAGACGTTGGGGCCATGAAGAGGCAGGCCATAGTCTTCTGGTACGGGCTCGCGGCAGATGTAGTACCCTTTGAAATAGTCAACAACGGACTCGGAGGCGCTGCTACCTTCTTTCGTGTCGCCCTGGGTTTGCACGGCCGGGTCCAGCGTCTCTTCGCTCATCGGCGTGTAGCCGCGCATGTGCTCGTTCGCCAAGACCTTGCGTTTCTCCTGCACGGGTTGCTGGAAGAAGTGGTGCATCTCGGCGTAGACGTCGTCGAGGAGGGCCGCGGGGATGCCATGGTTCGAGAGGTAGAAGAAGCCCACCGTGGTGCACGCCTAGACGAAGTACTCTAAGTCGCTAAGCTCCGAGTATGGCTACATACGTGGCGCAGCTGGGTGCTGGCATCGCTGGCGAAGCCGTCGACGACCGGGATCTCGGTCATTTTTGTATTTGAGATGTTTGTCGAATGGTTCATCTCGTCGGGGATTGGCTGGTTTTATGGATGGGGAGATCCATCCAATCAGCGCGCAAGGGCAACTTCAAGGCCAAGCAGGCTTCCGTGTTGCTTCGTGCTGCAGCTTAGAGTTGCTGCGCTCTCATCGACGGACTCGACGCCAGAGC